TCTCGCCGCGTATAGGCTATCTTCTGAAATATTCCGCGCAGAAATGATGGCTTACTAATCCCGTGAATAAAAACGGATAAACGGTGCCTGCTACCCCGTTTTTCCATCTTCTCACTTTCTCGAAAATTGCTTACAGATCTTGAGTTAGAGACAGGATCCGCATCCGCACTGCTAGCACTACATTTGGACGGAGACATGATCGTTCCGCGATGCGTAGCATATTTTCGATGTGAGAAAACCACGGTTATTCCTTCTCCCAGACAGTTGGTATTTGATCCATGCATGAAAACTACTTTTTTGGAACTTTTAGGGAACTGGGTAATTGCCTAATTCACGGGTGCCATACTGGCATGGCCCAGGAACCTTAAGAACGAAGGAACACTCCCGTTCACTTTGTTTCCAAAGTGAACGGGAGTGTTCTTTTCTTTTTAACATCGCTCTGTTTTCTCTAATCGTTGTTCGCACGGTCAAACTATGCGCCGAAAGACCGTGTAGCTGCTATATCTTGAGAGTGAGTTTTACCACCGACGGGAAGGTGTGTCTTTGTTCCGAGATTTCTTCTAATACACACTTTGGTGGCTCGCGTTTTGTTATATTGGTAACCGATTTTTCTTGCGAGTAAACTTGTATAGGACGCCAAAAATTACACCGGTGTAAGACTTCCATCTTATACATGCATATCGCATATGATAAATAGATGGACCGACCCTTTACAGTCAGAGTCGGTTTGTGTACTCACCCCTCACTCTCAGCCGATTTGCTTCCTTGACCGCGCAAGGTGAGCAACTCCAGCTATAGAGCCGTTGTTCGTTTAAAGTAACACTGTTGGTTGTTATCTCTATAGGGAGTATTCACATGGCGGCCATGGCTGTGTGCGCGAATGCTGAGCGCGTGCTGATGGCGAGCTTCCGCAGTTCTTTCACAACGTGCATTCCGCACCATCAAGAGTGGCGGTCTTAGCAGCCTATTGATGTGAGCTCGTTCGGAGCATGCGCTCTAAACAGCACCCACAAATATGGCGTCCAGTGAATACTTCCTATAGTCACATTTTTGCGTTCAGTAACACTTTGTTGTAATATGTTGCGTAGAACATGCTCAGACTCACCTTTCACAAGACACACCAAGAGGTACGTTCACCTTACAACATGTTGCTGTTTACCCAGCGGCATTTGCGTGGTAGGTTGGCGAAAATGGTAAACAGAAACACATTTTCTTTTCTGGGATTGAGCGTCCAAGCAAATCACGCCCTTACAAAAAATATCAGAAAGAGTAAACATAAAAGAAACGACGCTTGCGAGATGGTACAACACAAAAATAAGGGAAGTCTTTATTACAAAAGTTCTATTCCATACTTCTTTCACATCATTTGAAGTTCTATAAGGTTCTATAAAAGGGTCGCGTTGTACCATGTCTACGCTGAAATCGCATTTGGCAAGGCACATTCTTTATTTATTTATTTATTTATACGGGTTGCCATGGTCGCTCGCAACGCTGCCATCAGCTGTCGTTGATTGAAGAACCACCTTTGATCTACGGCTTCCATCCCGGCATTCAGTTAGTGAAAGTTAATTTCTTTCTAAACTCTCAACTTGATTAAGAGCGAAATGAATTGTGGCGCTACATCAGAGCGTTTAAAGGGTGACCCGCTAAAGAGAACAACAACCAAGTGAAAAGCAGGAATTGAGACGGAAAAAGAAAGGGGGGCTCTCTGCGAATCGGGTATCTTTGGAGAACCGCCAAGGGGTGCGCACTGAAGAAAAGGTTTGAGAACTGAGGGCAGGAGGTAGAGGTGTTGAACCATAGAGAACAACGTTTGAGAGAATGACGCTTTGTGCCGATTTCTTTAAAAAACGACGTTCTCAGAAGCGGTACTAAAACGCGTTGATAGTTTCAACTACGGGTTCTGCTCGTACCAACGTAAGCTTAAAAGTTTGTACGGATCAAATGAAAACTTGAAATTTCTAGTTCGATATGCTTAGTTTAGTTCTGCTTACTCGCTTAGATTTGCTCTGTTCGGTCCCTTAGGAAAATGATCAATGAGTTTCTATTGAGTTTCTAATGTATTTTATAAGAATGCAGTAGAAACTCAATAGAAACTCATTGATCATTTTTGTGAGGGGTGGTAGTAAATTAGGGATAGGTCAGGTATTTTGTGGGCCCCTTCTTAGGCTGGAGTTCAGCGACTTGCACTAGGAGCTGCGATGTTGCGTGAAGGGAAGAAAAAGTGCCGGCGATAACTGTTTTTTGACTTGCACGATCGACACCTGACAGTGCGGCAAAGCGTTTTTAGGCTTGCGCAGTGTGGAAACGTCAAGGTACGACATTTTGCTTTTTGGCTCAGATGATGTTACTTTGGAACATGGCCAACGTTAATGGTAATAATATACGCTTCTTCAAACAAAGTGATTGTCTTTTAGGGTGGCAACGGCGATTGTCATTGATTTCATCCGTCATTTCACATTCCCTCAGAAATAAAAGGTGTGCAAATGTTCCAGAAACAGGTTAATCTAACGCAACACACCTCACGTACAGAGCGCGACACTGTTAACGCGAACAAGCGATCGCCGGTTGTTCCAGTTTATCTCTTTGAAACCAAGAGATGTCATCCAAGTTATTATTGCTACGGAAAGAGCTCATTTAGCTCTTTATATATAAGCGATGAAATTTCGTGCTCGCTAATACTGTTTAGAAGTAAAATGCGAAAATGCGCCGATGTCGTGTTCGCGCTAACATTGTCGCGATGTGTACCGTGGAAGCTTTGGCCTAGCAGTGTTAGTAGCGGTGTTGAGAGAAAGACAGAATAAACAAACCATAAGTTTTGTCACTGAGTTCTGTCGCTTGACTGCCACTGACGGTGAAAAAAGAAAAAAAAAAAAAAGGGGGGTGGGAAGGAGTGAAACAGGCAAGGCCAGAGAAGATGAAGAAAATGTGGGAACAAGGTTGGTAGAAGAGGAGGGAGGGCTGAGGCAAAGTAGAGTAAGGACACTTCCAATATTCAGGCACACTAGCTCCGAGTCTCCGTGTCGAGGTTTCACCGCTTTCCGATGATAAACAAGGACCTGGTCTTGATACGTCCAGTTTTCAGGAATTTTCGCTCCAAAAAAGTTCAAAAACATTAGCTTTGGAATCAGTGTTGTTGTCGACAAAACGTGTTGCTCGTGCCTGTGACTAAAATCCTCGAGCGTCTTTTCCTGAAACGTCATTTTTGTAAAGTTGTTCGCTAAAGCTAACCTTCTCCCCTTCCGCCCGCTCGTACCAAAGCGGAAGCCTCGTGGTGGCATGCTCGCATACATGCAAGCATGCCACCAACATTATTTGGAGGCATGAGGACACCACCTCTTTGTCAACTCGGTCACGATGTGGGCCGCTTGTTGGTGGCACGAAGGCGCTTCAACGGCTGCCGACAAGGCGCTTTTGTCGCGTCGGTCAACAAGGTTGATCGTATATTTGCCCAGTGGGACTCGGCTCATAAACTACACATCCTATCTGTATACCCTGAGATTGTTCGCGCTACATAAAGACAGTGAAGTTCAACGCGGACAGACTTGGCGAGTGTGTATTTCAAGACGGAACGTTCACGGGAGTAAAAGGTTGCTGAGTAAGAAGCTCGTACTTCTGAAGTAACAAAAATATAAAAAATAAAGCGCAGTTAGAAAACATGACAGCGACATGTTACTGCCACACATACTCGATCCCACCAAATAGTCACAGAACAACATGCTGGCCAACACGGCGTAAGGTTGATCGAGTTGCAAAAAGCTCGTTCCGTTATGCTGACAAACAAAAATGCTGTTTGTCGTGCTAGTTGGGATAGGCCACAAACAGTATCTCGGACAGACGATAGCCAGGCTCGAAGTCTCGACCAGTGAAGATCATATGCTCCTGGTTCTAACTTGTTTAGCTGCCCTTCCCTCCGCCGTGTAACATTCGAAACTGACCTGAGTAAAGATGTTTGCCGTCTTCATCTTTGATATATCACGTTCCTTCCCTTTGACCCTCTCCCAGTCAAAGCAACACTCACATTCCGTGACGCGTGACCTTAACAGTGGTTGACTATCTGCTTAGCATGCCAACAAACCCGAGTATAGCTGGAAAGCAGCTAGAGCTCCTTCAAACTTCATCGTCATGTGCTACAACTACATCAACGAAAAATAATTTTGTTTTTCATGTGCCTGGCGCTAGAAATACTTGATTTTTTAGGAACATTACCGCAAGGTTGTGCTTTCATATGTAAACTAATTAATATATAAATTTTCAAAAAATGTCACGGCTGAGAACTTCATTTTTGAAACAAACGTTTCGCTTCTCCATTCAATCAAGTGGTGTAATACATAATTCGGTACATTCTGCCACAAGACACAATGTGCAAGGTGTGGCGTACTTGGTTCCTCACCTAGCGCGAGCTGTTTTAAAAAACTAATGCCAATTTCTCTTGAATGCTTTCATATATATATTATATAGAGAGATTGTTTTAGGCGTCCATATGAATGAACACGAACGTTCATACGAGATTGTACCAGCGCTAACTCTAAAAATGTCGCCATCTGACGGATGCGCTTAAAATAGTGATCTCATTAGATCAACTATCTCGAACAAACGCCCACCCCTGAAAGATCGCCCACCTAATATTTTTTTTCCCTTTTTACTCTCTACGTCAGGTTTTCTTGGTATTTAAGGTAAGGGCGTTTACTTGTAATTAAGGGTAATTAGACCTGCAGTTTTAATGTTTTTGTTGTTGTTTTGCTCGGTACTGGTTGAAAGCTTAAGCACCGCTACCCTGCGAGGAAACGAAACACCGGTCGAGACCTCGTGCCGTGTGCTTCCACTGTACCCCTCGGATGTCCCCGCGGAAAGAACTGTACAAGAAAGAGGCAGGCTGCGTCCAAGGGACGGCGACGTCCGGGGTGGCGTTCTTGCGCAGTCCTTGTGCTCGATGACAAGTGTCCCTTGCATGGGCAGCTGGCGACTTTGTGACTGGAAAGGGCGACGTGTTGCGTTGGTCATTTCCTGAAGGAGTATCCGCCGTGGATGGGATCTTCTTGCCAGTACCGGAGGTCGATGCCCGGGATGTCCTCGCAACGGAACCTCGGGTTGCTGCGAAACGGGGGTTTGTGTTGCCTCCACTTGAGATGCTCACAGTTACACGCGAAGAGGGGTCAGTACACACAAATGGTCCAGAAACAGACCTGTCCTAAGTAGCACGCCAAAGAAACGCCTAACTTTGGTACACGCTTGGCAATCCTATAGGGGCCATTATTGGGCCTAATACAGTATTACTCCAAGACGCTAAAAAGTGCCAAAATTATTTTTTTTTGTGTGTGTGTGTGGGGAGGGGGGATTGGCACGTTACATAATTACCCCAGAGTCAGACTTCTGCCAAAGATGTATAAACCGAAGAGCCAACAGCGAAGCTTAAGTCGGGCAACTGTCTAGCAACTCAGGCGCAACGTTTCCACATGAAAACAAAACAACCTGAAGTGCGTAAGACTAACTCGGGCTAGTGTTTGGTGATTTAGGCTCAAAGGTGCCTGATGACAGCAGTAAAGCTGATAGTGTTGCTTAGTGTTGAAGTAAAGCTTTGGCACTTGTTTGGCGGATCAAAACTAAGATAACCAGACTCTGGACAAAGAATGTCAAGTTTGGCTCTAAGTTTCTTTGGGCTCTTGAAAACCTAAAATTCCCAGAAAAAAAAAAAGTTTGCTTTAAAGAACTGTGCTACCTGGGATACTGTCATACCTGGAGTTAACTGCTCCGAACCAAAAGTGACGTATCTTGTTGCAAAACTTCTTTTTGCAGTTTTTTTTTTTTTTTTTTTTTGCTAGGGTGGAAAATATGTTTTTAGGAAGAGGCCTGTTTCCACAGGTATACTCCGCTAGATAAAAAGCGTGTAGTGCTGAATTTACCACGTTACATCATATCAGAGGTCAGAGCGGTGCGCAAACTAAGCACGAGTGCTGCGTAAAGGTCCATCTAGGGCTCGTGCTCACTCAGGGAGGAAACGTGTCCCAGACGAACACTGACGCTGCACTCGTGTTCAGTCCCCCCTTTCGCCCTTTCATTTCTTTTTGTGTATTTTATGGTGTGTACTGTCTGTCAGTGAGAAGTTGCAGTGAGGAGAAACGGAACAGCCGGAACAACATAGACAGCAAAAACGTTGAAGACTGCGCTGGTCGGTACTGATTTATATAAAACAGCGAAAAAACAAAACAAAAAGAAAACATGGATAAAGGAATGAACTGAATGTAAGGGCGCAAACCAGCTGGTAAATATCAAGGATGACAATAAAAGAAACCGAGACTGCGGCTAAAAGCGACACATACACTGAAAGTCTCAATTTACGTAGCCGAAAAATGTATTTCCCAAAACGTTCTTAAATAGTCATTAATGTCAAACAAAACTGGAAGAGAGTAAACGGGAAACCTTTTTTTCACAACTAAACCCTAAAAGATCACCATAAGAACACAAAAGACGTCGCGACATCCACCTCTTCTTCTACCTTTTACTTCAAGTGTCGCTTTCACTCTCAGCTTCGTTTTTTTTTTTTTTTTTTTTTTCCTTGTCATGACTGAGGAAGCCGCGAACGTAGACAGAGCCAACGTCTACGCATTCGCGTGATGAAGATGAAGATAGTGAGCTAGTGACTGTTTCCCGTGGCACTCACTAGATCCGATGGGGCAGCCTCATCACCCAGAGCTGGATGGTGGGAATGTCGTCGCCGTTCTCGCAGATGATTTTGGACTGTGTCGCTTTTCGGATCTCCTGCAGCTGCTCTGTTCGCCAGGAAGGAGGTGAAAAAATACAATGAAGATATTGCAATAGTTAGTCGCCGTTTGTGGCTAATGGTGCTCCTACTGTCACCCCCTTCTGTTTATCCTGAGGACTCCTGCATTATGGCGTTTCACTTTGACACCGTCTCGAATCATGCATTCGTGTCTGCGAAATTAAAATGGGATTTATTCTTATATATTAAAGACGGATTCACTCTTTACATATAAAATCGCCGGAAAAAAATTAGAAAGAGCAAGAATCATAATATATCTGACCGCGCGAAGGAAGTTAATGAATTATGCCACATTAACTGACTATCACAACGTCGCAGATTATCCTATTTATGTATTTATTTATTCAGGTATAAGGCATAAGCATATATAAGTTACAGGGATGCTTGAACCAGCCAATGAAAAAGAAGCACATGGTAAAATGCAATACTATACACTGAATGAGATCCCAATGTAACGCCTTCAAAAAAGAAAAAGAAAACGTATTCTGATAGGGTATTATTGCGGTTGAATGCAAAAGATGACCATGGTACTCCTGTCTTCTTTCGCTTAGAGTGCTTAATAATGCTTAATACTTCACAACAAAATATAAAAGACCCGCGAAAAAGAAGGGGTACCGGTATTTTGTTGTTATTGTTGACGTTTTCAGAAGCTTCTAGAACTTACCGAAAGAGGGGATTTGTCAAGGATTTAGATGATTAGATCATGTGTTATTTTTGCGTTAATGTTGAATACATAAAGCTTGAGGTCATTAGCGAGTTCGGTGAGGCTTAACAAGATATATGTCTAGGTGGTATAATAAATTTGTGAACAGCGTTACGCACCATACTATGAGCATTCCTCCGTGTAATTTCGCTAAAAGAAATGAGGTTCGCAACCAATAAAGGAAACATCAATCCTCGAAAGAGGCCGTTCCAGCAGGCGATGGTGTGAGACCTCATATTTTCGACAAGATAAGAGGAACTTATCTATGAATTCAAGTTCCGTAAACGTTTCGGTGATGCATCTGCACACTAAAAAAAGTCTGTGCGTCTACTTTCACGCACACCACTCTGAGAGCCAATCAGCGCAACTTACGGAGGCAGCTCGGCAAATGACAATCCCGAAACATATGTTTAGACCTAAAACTCAGTCTGAGTTGTGACATTAAGCAATGCAAGCGTGACGTTGTGCATTGCTTAATGTAACAACTCAGTCTGCGTTTTTTGGTCTAAACATATGTTTCGGCATCGTCATTCGCCAAGCTGCCTCCGTAAGTTGCGCTGATTGGCTCTCAGAGTGGTGTGCGTGAAAGTAGACGCACATACTTTTTTTAGTGTGGAATCTCATTCGTGTCATATTACATCCTGCACTGACAGGATTCACGCCTATTCGTGTGCCAATCAAACATGAGCCATTCCACTCCGTGGAGGTAGATGACCAGCGAAGATGTTTAGCCCACGACAAAGACGTGTCACAGAATTTTAAACAAAGTTACGAACGCATTTATTGTCTGCGCTTGTGCTTGGCATTTTGTGCACGATCTTCATCGGTGGTGTTTGCCGCCCACCGCCGCCGCTGACATTCTCGTTGCCGCTCCCGCCGTTGCTCTTCGAATGCGCGTTGCTCTTCGGGAGTCCGGACTATACGCGGCATCTCCATTACGACGAGAGAAGTTAAAATGAAAATAGAGAACGGCGACCTGTCTTTCTGTTGTTGTTGTTTTTATGTACATTCGCGTGAACGGCTTTCCCCGCCCCGAGGAGCCGGAGGAAACTAGACACGCGCGACGGGACCGCCACCCCAGGAGAGCGGAAGGAAACTAGGCACGCGAGCGCTTGGAACGACGACAAAGAGAGGGCGGTGCAAGCGTTGACAGGGCCGATGCGGGTCGCATGGCGGCCAATCATTGAGATGCGTCTATTGTCTACCCGAGAGTCTATTGATTTTGAAAATGGTGCCTATTGAAAACTAATCTACTGAAAATGCATATCAAAGTGATGAGACTTATAATCTTTTGCGTGGAATTAAGTGATTTTGCATGAAATTCGGGACCTGAGTTTTTGTTGACGCACGTGAGAAATCCACGGAACCCTAGCCATAAACAGCTTCGTTGTAAAATGTGTGATGATGAAACTCGGTAAAATTTACAAAGTTGTCGCGCGTTAGAGTTAAAAATCATACAGCTCCTAAATGTGTCATGCACTCAGTGGGGTAGTCGAGTAGTTATTTAAATGTAAACCCCAATTTTAATACCAAGGGGAGTAAAAAAAAACGACGAAATACATGTTTTGCGAAATCGTGTATTTATTTTGACACGCTCAAATCTACGTCTCTGCCTAATACAAGGCACTTGTCGAAACGTTTCTTCCATTGTTCAATATAGTATTTAAACTCGTCGATTTTAATGCATTTCAGCGCTTCTGGCGGTTTTTGTTTCGCCTCTTCCACATTCGTACACCCTTTTCCTTTAATAACTTTTTTTTTTCCATTCGGGGAAACAACAAAAACGTTTCACGGGACGAGGTATATGAGAAGGGTGGGGTACAGGAATCATGCCATTTTTGGTCTAAAACTGCTAACCTCAAAGCGCGGCGCGGCAGGCACGTTGTCATGGTGGACAAACCAGTCTCGTCACAACTCAGGTTGTCATTCGGACCACACCGCTTTGAGTGTTCAGCAGACTTTTACCAAAGACGGCTTGGCTCCAGTGCCCCACTTACCTACTCACCCGACCTCGTCCCATGAGACTTTCTTTGTTTCCCCGGGTGAAAAAAAAATCCCAAGGGGAAACAGATTGCCTACGTGAAAAGGTGAAAGAAAAAGCTGTAGGACCAATGAAAGGCATACAAATTGACGAGTTTAAACGGTATTTTAAGCATTGGGAAAACATATCGACAAGTGCATTACACTAGGCGGAGAGTACTTCGAGGGCGACTAAAATTTTATTTTGTAAAAATAAATACACGATAGGGTATAAAAAAAAGAAACATCTTTCTTTTGTTTCCCTCGTAGACCCGCTGCAAAGTGGTTACTTGGACCAGTTTGTTCATGGTCTTAGAAGGTATAAACGCGTCGAAAACAACAAGGACGAAAACGAAGTAAGACAAACACAAGGCGCACTCGGAACGCGAGTGCGCCTACTGCAACGTCAGCGTTGTTGATCTTACTTTGTCTTCGTCCTTGTTGTTTTCGGCGCTTTTATACGTTCTAAAGGGATACGGAATCAAAATTTGAAATATCCCGAAACACTTCGAAACTGGTGCAATATGATTCGTAAGTGATAATCAGACGCTTGTATTTTCAGCGGATAGTTATGCGGGGAGCAAGTCGTCTGCTTTTTGCGCAGGAGTTGCGGTGACGTCAGAACGACGCCGCGCTCTGATTGGCTGATCGAATAAAAAAAAAATAGGGAGTACATTTCGATGGTAGATGCTTCGAGGTCTACCCACTATTTTTTTTTCAATCGACCAATAAGAGCTCGGCGTCGTTTTGACGTCACCTGAACTCCTGCGCAAAAGGCAGACGACTTGCTCTCTGCATATTTTTCGCTCCAGCCGCCGGATTCTCCATGGCGAGCGTTTCAAGCGGCGCGATACGTCTCGGGACGTTTGACCGTGACGTCACGCTCGCAACGTCTCACGGAGTCATAAACGGCGAAGGGTGCCGTTATTACGGTCGTCGTAACTTGGTGGCGAGAGCTTTATCGTCAACGCGTTACAATCCCGCAGAGTGGGAGTACCCGTGGAATGGGTGTGCTAGAACCACACTAGTACACGTTACTCCCCAAAAAGTCACTAAATACCTTTACTCGTTACTCGCTCAAAAAGTGACAAAATACCTGACTCGTTACCGAATCTCAAAAGGATCGAGTTACACGATCCCAAATGTAACGAGTTACTTTTCTCGTTACTTTGACGACCAAATACACAGCTGTTTTTGTTTCATGGTTTATTGTTTTCTTTCCAGCAGTTGTTGCACTTAAGCAGTAGCGGCCTCTCGAAGTGTTTATGAGTTTTGTTTCCCCGCTTCCTTGCAAATGCATTTCCGGTGACGATGAAGAGTCGGTCTACTGACATGCTCGAAGGAACGGCAGTGTTGCGCTTCAGGAAGAGCTGGCGAATCTGGGATATCCCTCTCTCTTTTGTTCTCTATGCTTCTAAGGTTCGAAGTGGACCATAGGTTCTGTGCCTTCCCTTGTTGGCAACCTACAGGTTTACATTTGTTCTGCAGACGATTCTAGAAGGTTCAACCAACGAACCTCATTGTGTTCGCTGGACGAAGGGCATTTTCAGCAGTAAAGTTCGACTGACGAGTTCAGCGATGAATGTGGCTAGTCTGTCATACTGTTCAGCTGTTTTTCGATATGCCCACATCCCTTTGTGGCAATAGACGCACACTCAGGTTAGAGTTAAAACGAGGCTGTTTAAACGTTAAGTTGTACACGTTACTCTTCCAAAGGGACGAAATACCGTTACTCGTTACTTGTCATAGTGACTAAGTACGTTGCTGGTTACTTTTCTAAAAGTAACCAAATACGGTACTCGTTACTGAAGTAAGTAACCAGGTAGAAGTAACTGGTTATTAGTAACGCGTTACCTACATGTCTGGCTAGAATGAGAGGTGTGCCAAGCGCCACGCGTTCCCGGGTGCCTCTATCGGACACAGCCGCGCCGTGGCGTTGCTACTTATGGGTCCGTGACGTCAGACATTCCAAAGAAGTTCGCCCCCCCCCCCCCCCCCCCTGACTACCAGGTGGTACTAAAAAAATTGTTTTATTTGTTTATTCACTTATTTTATTTTATTGTTTTTTTTTCTTTTTTGCTTTTACGGAGGAAAGATTTGTGTCTGTGCAACGTCGACACGAAGAAATAGGCACTAAAGTTTCGCTTCCGTACCCCTTTAAGACCTTGTTGGCCCTTTTCAAAAGCCGCATCAAGCGGCACAACATTGTACCGGGCATAGCTTCCTGCGAGAAGCGTGTTATTGAATCCGAGTTCACGCTGACGCAGCAGTCGTGTTCAATGCCTGCTCAGAGCGAACGCCCGAAATACGGCGTCCCCGCATAATCGACGCAGCGTCCAGAGGAGGACACGCGCAGCTTTGAAACGAGTCTATGGTCGGCACGACGGAGGGGGACTCACCGGGCGTGAAGGAAGACGGCAAACCCGGGTTCTCGAACCAGAAGCGGTCTCCCCGGCGGAGGTTCGAGAACTGCCTGGCGATGATGCAGGCGAACGTGGGGCCGATCATGCCCCCGGGCAGGGTGCGCTCCGAGATGCCGCCGCTCCACAGGTCGATGTCGTCCGGGTGCCTGCGCCAACCGCGCGTCAGAGCTCGTCAGCAGCGCGCATGCACATCAAATTGGACAGAAGCACGCTTGTCTCTTCGAGTGACGGCCGTGGCGAATTGAGAAAGTTCCCGGCGTTGCTTGCGGTAAGCCGTTGACCCGATGGACGGAATTTTGTCGTATGGTTCGGGTGCATCGTCGGCACCCCCCGGTAATATGGATGTAGAGGAAATCTTTGTATTTCGTAGAGTCAGTCTACCATTATTCAAGTCGGCGGTTTGGGAGGTTTCGGTGGCGAACGAGCCTGCAGCCAATGACCACCGCCACGAATACGCTTGAAAGCCTCACATGGTCGCTCGTGGATCCACGAAACGCCGGAAATGTCCGCACACCGAGTGCTGTCGAGCCATGACTTTGAAAATAGTGGATTCGTTGTATGCAGTACATTTTAGTTCGCAAGCGGACGGCAGCCATGTTTGTATATGGTACACGTGGAACCCAAGGTTAGTATATTACAAACGCACACCGGTGTGATTCTTATCCAGATTAACACGGGAAGGGGAGAGGATTGAACAAGCACTTAGAAAACAATAAAAATACAGCCTTTGAAAAAAAAAAAACTGCAGGACGTCTTGTAATGCCGAAAGGAACTCTGGGAACTGGTTGTACAGAACCCGCCCTCAGCAGAAAACTGAAGCAACACAGGCGAGAGCAGGTGCTAACTCAATACCACAAAGAATGAAGACCTTAATGATCACTTTTCTACGTCACGTATATACCGAGGGCCAGCCCAGGGTACATATTGGACACAAAAGCTGCGTCTGCGTTTGGCGGGTACTCGTGCTTTGACAGAACGAACCCGATTTCCCACCGAACGCTGAATTCGTTGCGCGCAACGCCTTATAAATGTTTTTTTTTTTTTTAGAGCGCAGCTCTTAGGCGCCCGTTTCCGGCTTGAGCGGCGTCGCCGTCGCCGTCGCCGTCGGTGTAACCGCGACCCCCCCTTGAGGACCTCGGGAGGACCTCGGGTACCTTCGGTGACCTCGGGGAGGGGGGGTCACGTGACCCCCCCCCCCCCCGAGGTCACGCGACGCCCCCCTCCCCCCAGAGGTCACGTAATCCCCCCCCCCCCCCCCCCTCGGTACCCTTCTTTCCTCCCCCTCAAGAGCTGAGCTCTAATTCGGCGTTACAGGGAGTTGTAAACGGCTTTCATTTTTTTATTTTTTTAAGAGGTTTATTGGCGCATATGGTGTAATCGAGGACGCTCTGTTCTGCGGAGCCGTGTGCCACGCTCACTTGTAGATCTGCGAGTATCGGAAGGCGGTGCCGTTGCTGAGCCAGGGCTCCAGGTCGGCGAAGGCGTGCGCCCTGGGCAGGCCGCACCACTCTCGGAACGAGTTGTAGCCCGGCACGCCGTGCTCCCGGGCCCGCTGCAGGTTGATGGAGATGAGGTCCTTGCCGAACGGCTCTTCCGGGTTCTGGAACAGGTGGTTGGTCACCTGCGCCACCCACCGCCGCGGGAGAAAGAGAGAGAAAAAATGCGCGTTCTGAGACGTTACTTGCAGGCGTCCAAGTACGTCCCTCGGGCCGACGTCACACACCTGGTACATCATATATGCGAAAGGCACGGTCTTCAGGCATGATGACAAAATTCTCTGCCGACACGCGGCAATCATGTGTCGAAGCACGCTTCTTTCACACATATGTGCGCTTTGAACTTGTCTAAAAACTCTTTTTGTATGCCCAATCTGACAGGAAGGTCAAACGAGGAAGAAACACGCCTCGGAGAGTGTCTACAAACTTCTACAGACGTTTTAATGCGGTCATACCGGAAGTCTTTATCGAACCCACTCACCAATCCCGACACTCTGGGTGCCACTCTCATCCTACGCTGATTCGCCAATTATCAGAGTGCCTTCGGTCTGAAGGCTTTGAAGATTTCCCGTTAAAAGTGGCGAATAACTCCGTTGTATACGGACATTTTAAAGGCATACAGATCAAAGGCGAAACATCTTATCGCTCAAAAGCATAGTAAAAGTAGAGTGCCTTGGCAGCAGCCTGTGACTAAAGTACAGCACAAGTTTCCATTAAACGCCTACGCAAAACCACCGCAAATGAGGCCGTAGAACAAGTTAAGCAATAAAGAGAACGAGATGATACACTCATTCATATATGAGGTGCACAGACGTGACGCCTGAGATCAGGGGCCTCTCTTTGACACTAATAACACGCTCGCATTGAGTCGTTCGCACGAGGGAAATCTCGGCGCACCTCGATACTTCCCCGAACCCTCGATACTGGGACAGTTTCACGCCCCCGAACGAATGGCAAGAACGCTTACATGGGCAAAATACGAAGGCGCGCATTGCTAACCTGTCCGCCCAATCGGCCACTTATAGAAGCCACGAAATTGGCTAAAAATAACAGTAATGCCAGTAATAATACGGCCTCCATTCCTCTAAGTCAGCTCGGCTGTAAGCTGGTCCGGTCATCCGATCTATGATTGACGTCTATACGGCCGTAACGCGTAGTCCCAGTGCTGTGCATAGAGTCCGTGAATTTGAGGAGACGCGTTTTGGCGATACTGAAACAACCACAAGCTCTCGCTAATAGTGGGTTAGACGTGTTACGTCATCTCTACGTAACGCCGCTTCAGCATTGACGGTTCCGGAAACAACAACGTGGTAATAGGGAGTTTTTGAAGATCCTTTCCGCTGTCCCTCAGCGCTCTCTACGACGCGCTAGGAAATCCGGAACTCTGCATGCAGGCAAGGCTAACAGCACGAATCCGTAGTAGTGGCGTCTTCGTTGTATACAGCGTATAGTGGAAGAAGAGAAACAGTCTGCAAAGCCCCTAATGGACCTTTTCCACATACCGACGGCACCAGGTGGTGGCTGCAGGAACTAAAAATTGAGGAAGTGACCCACCTGCGATAATCGATCCCACCAATCGATAATGGGAGCTACGCTACCAGTTTCTTCGCTATCTGAGCTGCGGCGCGCGACCAACGCGACTTTAAATAGGGGCATCCGTGACGTCCACCCAAACGTCGTGTTTTTCTTTCCGTTCACTATCTTTTTTTGTGTAACACAGTTATATATATGTTGCAATTACGTGTTCTACTCGCTGATCTAGAGCCTCCTTCCGAATTTCTTCGATTTCTCGTGCCGAAATCCGCCGCTTGGCATCGGGCGCTCGCGCGTGCGCAGAACGCTTCTCGGAAAAGGTCCATTGACTCTTGGGTACCCGTAGCGTGTTAAGACTGCGACTTGGGCTAGTTGTTTCTAATACATAATAAAACAATATGCAAAAAAAAAAAAAAAAACAGCATTTGGTTGTACACTGCGATAGATGTGAATGCCAACGGGAGTTCCATTGAACGAAAATTGCGGGAAGGTTCAAAACTCAACTGGAAGGAGAAATACACGAGGTCACCATGATAAGAGCACATCGTCCGAATGTTTGTATCACCGCTCCCTCTATCGCCAACTCTGATAAGGAGCAGGTGCGTGTATCAGCCAAGCTTCAGACACCCACCAGTAACGTCTGGCTCCTGTTTTTTTTTTTTTTCCTTTTTTTTTATCGAAATGTATTCTTAGCGCACGTGTGCGGTTTTAATCTTTTTTATGTTTGTGCTCTATTAAAATTCAGTTGCAAGTTACGCCTGCCCTGTGTGCCTCTCTTCTCTGTCCTCGTATATTTTTTGTGTATTTTTTTATTATATATGTTACGCTTCGTTATTTACGTTTATATACAGGAACGCAACATAAGCCGCCAGTTGCCGACGTCCATAGCTTCCTTCGGATGTAGTCTTCCGTTCACTAACATTACTCTCTTTCTTTCGATCTTTTCTTTCACCCGCGGTATGCAGTAACACGCGTCACAGATGTAAACGCTAAGTACGCAGTCAATCATGCGTCCCCTTTTTTGATGGGGTCCTGTCCAAACCTTCCGCGACCCACTGACAGGACCCGTTACAATCGTCCGCTACGCCTCCGACTCCACTTCCAGAAATATCGCGTATGATATTCGGCCGGGGACAGCTTCCTCTAATGTCAGGAGATGCGCTTCCCCGTAGGCACCGAGGAAACGCGTCCCTGCGACTGCAGGGGGCTGGGATCAAGGCAAGCCCACGTTAGAGTCGCTAGAGAGTTGGTGTAGACCGTTCCGATGCCTCCGATAAAAGTACCCGATAACGATACAATGCGTGCGCCAAGGCGTCGGCGCAACATCCGGTACTGTATCGGAGTAATTAAAATTACCTACTAAGACTCCCTACCAAATAAACTAGTACGCTTATAGAGTGTCGACACCCCATTCGTGGAGTTTCGTGTGGGCGCCGCCATTTTCCTGCATGCGCAATGCAGAGCGGGCTCAATTGGTGATCGTTACGATTAAATAACGCGACTTCCTGAGCTTTAGATATGGTGTGATGAACTTAAGGCGATGTTGTCGCGGATGGAAAAGGATCGACAGGCGTAAAACTAAAAATAGAAGTTTAAACAGCAAACGTGTGAGAAAAAAAAGTCGAGCGTCGATAAAGCAGCAGTGAGCGTAGGGCTCACTGCTGCTTTTCTGATGCTTATGCAGGTGTCTAGCGCGAGAGTTCGTCGGGAGAGTGAGTCGGCAAGGCCACGCTGGGCTTCTTATACATTACACTCAGTATCGTCGCGAATCTTCTGGAATTATGGAGTAGCGTCGTCCAAGCACGTGGCAATGTCGCTTAGCTCTGTCGCTGACGGATTTCACATTTCTGGGTTTCCTGCGATTTCAGATAGCGCTTCCTATAAAACCCCGTCCACACACTTGCGACTCCTTAGAACCGAGTCCATCGAAACCTCTTAAATTTTTTTAGGACGAGAGAACACACTGGCACGCTGGCGCCATCTATGCGGTGACATTGGAAGTGCATTTCGCAAGAGCGAAGGTTTTGCGGGATTTCCGAGGTCAAATGTGCTTAATACCTATGAGAAAGGGTCGTTTATAACGTTGAGCAAAAACTTTCGAGCCAGGAAAGAAAGGATGAAGCGCGAAAAAAATAGAGCATATGCGGGACCGCTAAGTTTCCACTGCTACCCAATAGATGGCGGCAGTGTGCCCTTTCGTCCTAGGAGGTTTTAGAAGGTTCAAAGGCACTCGGTCTTAAGAAGTCGCCAGTGTATGAACAGGCCTTGAGAGGCAGCGATGATTTGAAGTGCCAAGATGGCTCAAGTGTCATTGCTCTGAGGCCTTATGTACTGACTCCAGCCCATGCATGTGGCGTTCGTGTCGCTCGCAATGGCTTTACCTCCTGCGTCACGAAGGGATCGTAGGTCTGCGCCGGAGTGTTGATAAGTCCCCCGGCCAATTCGTCCAGCTTCCCGGGCTCGTACACGATGAAGGGGTGACGCAGCAGGTTTCGGAGCAGATCCTCCCCTGCATGAGACAGACGATGTTGCTTTCTTTCAGAACGAGGAAATCGGAGCTAGTCAGAGCGACGGACACCACCGACCGACAAAAAGCAAAGCCTGGCTTAGGTATTCTGTCAAATGCAATGAAGATGCGGTAGCACTTGATTGGGTTACTATATACTTTGTTTAAGCTTAAGTCCAGACTCAGCCGACGCTACGAGCTAAGGGGACCAATCAAACAGCGTCAAAAGCGCAAGTCACTAGGCCTTCTGTGTTTATATGATTGATTCAGCGATGATAGAACACGTCCTGAAACATAACGAACCCATGATGGAGCTCTTTTGACTGTCTGATTGGTTTTCATCAGGTAGATCAACTTCTAGGGTTGGCCCACTTTATTTGTGAATTCCAGCCACGTTATCTGCATCTCAGTTACCCTTTTTGTGACTCAGTTTTTGCGAGTTCTTCGAAAATGGTAATGGTCTTCCTTTTTTCTTCTTCCTGTTTTTAGCCCAGCAGGACGCATCTTGTCTCAAGCAGATATTTTTACAAATAAAACATAATGGTGGCTGACGTAGACTTGATATTCTGGGCTTGAGGAGAGAGTGAAACTCGTGAGTGGGGCCATATAGCGCGGCTCACTTAGTTCCCTGCCCTTCGCTGCCCGTGGCATCAGCGGACGTCTATCTGGAGAACACTGGAGTAAACTGCAGTCGGTCCGTGCTCCGTGCGTTTTTGAACGGCACCAAGAAAGGTACACATGGCAAACATGCGTTTACCTTTCCTTGTTTTAGCCAACGTTCTAATTATTTGTTGTTATGAGTGTCCTGTGGCTGTTTTTTTTTTCTCGATTACTTATATTTAAATATTGGAAACTTTGTTTTTATTCACCAACGTCTCAACCGAGGCTCAACCTGTTCAGAACCAAAGGAAGAAGAATATTGAGCCAAACCTTATCTAATATTTAATTATCACCTTGATATTACCAACTCTACTAAAACTCTCGAATATCAGGCAACGGCTGCAGCGACGTAGCTTTGCTCTATCTTCAAGGTAAATAGTACTTCCAGCGCTTCGCTGAAAAAGCTGAATGCAGAGCATAAAACATTCGTGAGGCACAATATGGCACTCCCATCCAGTGCTTCAGTTCAAAGTGTGTTCAGCGTATCAGTGGACATCTTCTGTAAGAAATAACGCAACATGTCTGACGAAACTTTCGAGAGTCAGCTGTTGCTCAAAATACTCAGGGTCAATAAATGGAACAGGTGGCAACAATAAGAATTTGAATAGCATTCTTCCCTTTGTTTGTCATTTGAGGACAATATTGTTGAAAGTAACGCCACGAAAGTAACGGATTACTTTTGGGGGTAACGGTCACTTACTTTTATGGGAGGGTAATTGTATTTGTAATAAATTACAATTTAGCCTTGAGTGATTGTAAATGTAATCCCTTACTATTTTCCAGTAACGTGTACTAGTCTGAACTACACCATGGAGCGGAGCCGGCGGCGTCTGTAAGCGCAAAAAAAAAAAACACGGAAGAAATGCCTACCCTCCCATTGGCTGAGCGAAGAGGCTCCTAGATTGCCACTGGCGGCCGCTTCACGAAAGCGCGCGATCGGCCGCTGCTCTCGTGTCACGCGTTGCCGGAGGAGACTCGTGTCAGGCATTGTCCGACGGGACGGGACGGGGGGAGGGGACGGGGAAGGGAGAGGGGGGTTGCGGCCGCTTTACGAGAGAGCTCGCTCGGCCGCCGGCCGCAACCTCGGCAGTAGCGAAACGTGGTCGTCCACGCCAGTACACCGCAGACGAACTAAGGGATTGACAGAAGGACACTCAAGCTTTCGCATTCACAACTCATAAATGCTTAAGTGTCCCCGAACTTGAAAAAAAAAAAAAATCATTGATGGAAAAGGATGTTATAAAATGAGCTTACAACGAAAAACAAAAATTAGAGCTGTATTGAAGGCGCGAAACGAATTTGTTGTTGGCGCCCGCGAGATCACGCGGAGAAGTGGGAACTAGCAGTCACGTGACTGGCCACTATAATCACGTGGTGCTTGTACTCTTTCGGGAGCTTCTAAAAGTCCTTATTAATCCCCGTGTTTTTATTCACTTTTTTAAAAATATATTTTGATGCTTGAGAAACAACAAGTCTAAGAAAATCGTGACATCCGTTTTGACCCATACAAGTAAACAAACAAAAGCATCGCCATTTTTGTTTGAAGGGACGCGTTGACACATGTTTTACTTTGTAACATGTCGGTTTCCCCAAAGCGACGCCGCTGGTCCACGAAGGGCTGCAGTCCTTGTGATCGGCGAGCAGCGACGTCGCTTTAAACAAGCCATCCCGGCTGCTAAAAAATTTTTTTTTTTTCTTTGCTTTGGTTAAGGTGACACGAAGTATAGCGAACAGCACTTCTCTCTTTTAATCTAGCGGATATATTTTCCCGCTAATATTAGCGGCAAAATTGTGCTGTCACGTCACGTGAAATTGTGGCGTCCCTTTAAACTGTGACGTCAGACGATTTCTCCGCTAAATTTAGTGGGTAAATTAACGCCGCGTGATTCGACGTCATCTGATGTCAGAAGCAAGACATGTATTTTGCTATTTATGATTTTTCTGTAATAATTTACAATTCGCCAGCCTTGCACGATCAAACGAATGCTCTCGCCCAGCGCAACGTGCTACTCTAGACAACCGCTCATTCAACCTATTACAAAGCGCGAGTCCGCGGTCCACCCACTTTCTCCGCCAGACAGACGCTTGCTCGCGCATGCGAAGATCATCGGGAGATGCCAATGCCAACGGCATCTCAGCCTCATAACGTCCTCGTTCTCGTTGCCTCGTCACCTTCCATTCAACAACCGGCGGTGACCCACGCCGCCGCCCCCGAGGCAAAGCTGCAGACTCCTTTGTTCACTGTCCTCCGGTCATCTCATCTCCATCAGCGACACAATGTCTACGATCCAATTCTGAGCCCGTGATATTCCATCTTGTGCAAATCGTGGCAACGTTCCGCACTCGGGACGCTAGCTGTCGTCACCACGAGGTCAGTGGTCAGCCCTAGCGCTGATGACTCCGCGGCGGTGGCACTGCTGTGAATGAGCACGGCGTTTGAGCTAATGCTTCATTTCACGTGAATTTATTTCCTCAGTACGCGCGGAGCCCATACCTGGTGTGGGCAAACGCTGACGTGTCTGTAAACAGAGCGTTTGCAAGCAGCCACGCTTGAAAAAGCTAGTCTGGCCTTGAAAAACTCTTTGTGGGGATACCAGTCTGGCAACCATAAGCGCAACCTAACAAGGCCTAACTATCAGACGACCTAAACACGCCAGAAGCAAGATGGCGGCGCCCGGAGGCTTTGCTTGCAAACGTCTGTACTTCGTTTCACCATAAGCCGAGGCGGAGTCAAAGGCTAGAAGTCACACATAAGCGCACAAGCTAAAAATGCAAGAGCCACGGTGCATCTCCTGTACTTGATTGGATCTGAACTTTGTAGCAGACGCCATGAGAACCGAGGAGAGCTGTAACGCCGCGCTTCTGGTGCTCCACAATTGGCCCATGTCGGCTTGAGCGTCAGCTGCGCTATGACCGTATGTGAAACGATATATAGCGCACCTTCACCTGTGTAAATGAAAGACGACAACCAACCAACTCCTAAGAATATAGAAAGCCTACGTTTTGAGGCTGAAAGAAGATTAAAACATGCTGCTCCTCAACGGTCATCGCCGTAGTCACCCCTGAACAAGAGCCGAGTAGGCCTGGAAACGTAGGGTCCTTATATTTTTAGGGTTCGGTTTTCCCAACCAAACGGATTTCTCCCAAATATTTGCTTTGAAGTCTTCACTCGTGTGTAAACGTATGATGTCGGAATCGCGTCTTTTTGGTGAGCAATGCAGAGCAGTCACTGTATTCTATGGTTGTCGCCCAATGAAACGGTCGATGGCCTCTGTGACGGCTGAGCCTCAAAAAGCAAATCTTACTAGACTAGTTGATAGTAATATTACTATATAGTAGTCATAAGTTCTCAACTGTAGTCGAATGGAGTTCTAAATCCACTGAGCGCGTATACGCTGTCATAAGCTGAAGTCTTCATGAACTGGTCATTTGGCTCTTACCGATGAACTCGTGGAACTTGTTGTACCTCCTCACCATGCCCTGAATGAAGGTGTGCCCAAATCGGAACGCTGCCGACTGGAACGAGTTTGACAGTGCCAAGTTCACTTCAGGATCGTAGCCGTGCCAGTAGCCCTGTGCAGAACAAGACCGACGCGGTGTTGGTGCAGTTAGCTCGCCGTATGACCATATAACGAATAGATGTACTTCCAGCGCCTCTCGGGCGCTCACAACACGTCATCCCCGGATATGCTGAAGACAACAACAAGGCAGCTTGGGATTTATTAAAGCAGGGGTCTACCTGGAGACTTCCGACGTATTCCACAAGTGACATCATATCTTTATTTCTAGAAGGCAGAAACGAATGTTACATTCCCGAATGCATCCAGCTGTCCACAGACCCGCCGGCTTCCACAAGTGAGGTCACAATTACACGGTAGAATATTAAGGCCGCACTGTGCGACTTAATTTCTCGGAGTACCTTAATAAATGCAGAGCGCGAGAGAGCACGGACAAGTGAAACTACCGGTGTAATATTGTGTTCATATTGGGCACAAATGTTTGTGGTAAAATTGGGTGTTCTTTAATGCACTGCTCGAGGACAATCTGGATGAATACCGGTGTTTTGTTCGCGCTAATTGTGTCGCCTAACGTACAACCAATTTCGCATTACAAAACCCGTGATGGTCTCTCCTATTTCCCTTCAAAACACCATGACGCCATTTTGTACTTACCTCCTTGAGGAGCGTGAGGTTGTAGCGGACCATGAGGTCTTCCCCCAGCGCCATAGGCAAGAACTCGTTGTAGGTGATATACTGGACGGCGGCGGCCATGATGTGTCTGGTTTCGTGGTAGATGCGGTCGTCATCCCAATGCGGATTTAGCCTGGACAGCTCCATGGCTGCCCGGTTGTGGTCGCGCACGTAGAAGGTGTGTAGCACCGTTAAATGGATCTGTTCGTTCACACGCTCGTCGCCTTTGGACCCCGGGTTCCGTCGGTTGCAAGAAAAAAGTGGAACGTTGTCATTGTAGAACAACGTAATACAGATTCCGCTAGGCTAGCAGCGACTGATGCCTTCGAGCGACATGAGAGAGCAGTCGCGTCAATGTATCTTTACCATACTCATCTCGTCATCTTCACTAGGAGGTCAGCGGGCCTTTTGGTACGGTCTACTCACGTCGCTGCATCAATGCGGCTTTAGATAGCCAAATAAATATTAATGTTACCACTGCTGTAACAAAAAAGTAGAAAGATATTGCCCCGATGCTTTAATGATTCGGCGATATTCATTGCCCTCGCTCTGGTCTTCCATGTCAGTTATGCAACTTGGTGAATCAGACGTTGAGGCGCTTTTACGGAATCTATTTTTATACCTATTCCTTCGTTACATGTTACTTTGCGGTGATGTCGTTTAAGTAGGTTAAATGAAGTGGGTTTCATATCTGATCGGGTACCTGTTTCCAGGCGACATAGAGCCGGACAGAACTCCCTCTGATTTGACTACGGGGCCTTCGGCAATGTGGATTGGTTAGGTTATTTCGATCTAAGCTCGCCGGACAGGGGTGCGGACCTATCACAATATATCAACTCGTGTTCCCATCGTCACGTCTAGAAGGTGTCACTTGGGAATGCACAGGTGATTTGTCCTTTGTTCTTTGAAAAAGCAGATTTCTGCAAGTACGCAGTACCCACGCCTCCACAGGTAAGTGTGCTTGTTTGTAATTCCCTAATCCCACTACAAGAACGACAAACAAAAGCAACCGACACCGACATGCCTCAAGCACGTGCAGCATACTTGCGAAGGTAACTTTGGCAGGCTTGCGATCACTCATGCTCACTTTCCTAACACCACTGCAATTTCCTGTCAAAGGTACCTTCGTGTGCCTGGTGCACGTGCTTGAGGCTTGTCGGTATTGGTTGTTTTTGTTTGTCGTTCTAGTGGGACTCGGACATAAGTAACAAGGGAGTGCCTAGAAAGGGGTTCACGCATCCGCATTTATAAGCGTCTGAACTGTTTCGCAGTGTAGCGACAGCAGTGGAAGCGGAGTAGCAGGGCGAAGTATCGAGCGGCCGTGAGCAGGGACCCACTCACCTGCAAGGAAGCAGAAGAGTCGCCTGGGTCGGCCGATGCAGTCGCGCTCCGGGTTTTCTGACTCCGGTGGCAGGAGTGGCTTGAGGCCCACTTCACGGAAGCGATCCCAGGTTCGGAGCTGCCCTTCAAGACAACGCGGGTGTTTGCCGATGCCGTTAGTCTCTGATGGTTGTGCGATGTGCCTTGCCAAACAAAACTTAGACCTCCTTTACTCTTCACTGGTGCTCAAATTGAGCTGAAACCAGGAGCTCGAGTCTACCTTTCTGCGTGGATTCGGCTGAGGGCACAAATGCGCCACAAAATACACCTCTATAAATAAGAAAAACTGTTTGCATTACCAGCTTTTGCCTCTATTTGAAAGAAAGGCAATTTAAGCGTAGACTTTCTCTGGACGTCACAAGCTTCCGTCATTCCTGTGTCTAGAGCTTGCCTTGTTTTCAGATTAAAACAACTATTAGGCTGATTCCGGAACTTTTGTACCCCCGAATGCGATTTTGCAGACGCTGGGCTTTTTCAGACGCTTACAAATTTAGTCCAGCGTCCACACATCATACAGCCTTGCAGGCACGGTTTAACAAGCAATTGAAGTACGCTTTATAAGAACGAATATTACGGAGGTCCACGGCTAAAGGCCCTTTATGGTACTGGTGATTGACTTCGAGTCTCACATGCCATGATCTGGAAGCTTTATCCACTCTTTTTCCTATGTTCTCATACCCACGTGGGTAACCAGGCAATCAGCATTATACTATAAATAGGTGAGGCGATCGGGTTCTGCGAGACACTGTTAGTTCATTAGAAGGGGAAGACTATGAAGAAAGATGTACCAAGAGAAAAGAAAGGAAAATCAAGTTTTCACCTGATGTTTTTTGGTTTGTTTTTTTTTTCATTTGGGGGGGGGGGGGGGGGGAGGCTGATGAAAGATGATGTAGCGACACCTGAGGCTAGCACCGCTGCAATCACCTTTCACTCGGCTTGAAGACCGTGAGATCGAAACGTAGCTCTACCTTGTTTTCCGTTACTATGCACAGCGCAAGTTCGTCTGCTTCTAGCACAGGGGTTGCGACATGGGTTGCGATGACGTCAGAAAGCCGAACATTTATTGGCTGATTGACAAAGGTAGTGAGTAGACCTCAAGGCATCTATCATTGAGGTCTACCCACTATCCTTTAAGTTAGAACCAATCAGAGCTCGGCGTCGTTCTGACGTCACCGCCACTCCCGCACAAGAAGCAGACGACTTTCTATCTGAATAAATCCAGGAACACGAGCTAAATACCTGGAATCTTGTTGGTTTCAAGCGCATTGGGCACCATGAGCGGTGGCCCAAGCGTTCTTTGGTCAATGTGCCAGCGTCGGGTGACCACGTACCTCTTGAGAAAGAGCGCAACCTTCTGGAGAGATCGTCGGAAGAGCCGTAGATGAAGTTGGCGTCGATCGAGTGCGTCAGGATGTTGATGTGAGTCCTCGGACCTGCATCAGGATTCTTAGGGATATAGCGACAGCGGCAGTCGTGCGCGCGCCAATCCTCACTTGTCAAGCACAATAGTTGGAGATTTGGTGTCCGAGCGCAAGAGCACGTGGATGAAATTCATCTCAATTAAGTTTTTTGGTTTTAAAATCTATTAAAAAAAAGAGCGAAAAACAGATGAATGGACAATGTCAGTTTAGGCCACAATCATTAAGACTTTTGGTCCTCCCGTAAACAAATATAAAACGTGGATATGGCGCATTGTAAGTGACGCGAGAGGTGGCAGCCGAGTGATTACTGCGGGTTAAAAATTGAAAATGCTACAAATCCCAGTACGGCTGCATATACGGTACTTATGCAAACATAGTGGGAAGAACAGAGTATAGCACAGCTGGCATGAACAAGAAATCAGTGGTTCCTGCTATTTCTTCCCTAATAGTTCAGAGGCTGTCATCAAAATTGACAACTTTTGGAATGTGCCTATGTTAGTCGGGCAACTTATAACGTATAAAATTGGGCGTAATACACTAGCCTAAGTGAGTAAATGGCGAAAAAAAAAAAGGCCGATCTCTCGTTTGCGTTGATCGGGCCCGCTGTGGTCTTTGCCGGGGGCCTGGCCAAATCATTCATAGGACCAGTGTCAAGTATCCGCAATCTGGCTAAGCAAAAAAGAATAAAAGAAAAAGACGCACATTGGTAGGTTGTGGCTTACCAAGTGCGCAATTCGGGCGCTGTCCGGCCAGCGACCGCTTGAACTCGATGCACGTCCTGCGGTACTTCCCGTAGAAGGGGTCCTCCCGCGGAACCTCGATGGTCATGCATAGCGGATGCTGGAACTTGGGCGGGACGCCGCAGCACACGAAGTCCAGGTCTCGCTCGTCTACTCTCCGACGTGCAAGCGAACGGAGTTCAGAAACGCGCCGGTTGGAAAAGCCGGTCGTGGTAAACCTCTCAATCAAATGTAAAAAAAAACAAAAACGGTAAAAATGAAAGCCGTTTACAACTCTCTGTAATGCCGAATTAGAGCGCAGCTCTTGAGGAGGAGGAGGGAAGGGTACTGAGTGTCACGTGTTCTCGGGGGGGAAGGGTCACGTGACCTCGGGGGGGGGGGGGTCATGTGACCTTGGGGGGTCACGCCTCGGGTGGGTCACGTGACCTGGGGGAGGGGTCACGTGACCTCAGGGGAGTCACGTGACCTCAAGGGGGGGTCACGTGACACTCAGTACCCTTCCCTCCTCCTCCGGTGACCTCGGGTATCTTCGGTGACCTCCCCGAGGTTACCGAAGGTACCCGAGGTCCTCCCGAGGTCCTCCCGAAGGAACTCGAGGTCCTCCCGAAGGAACCCGACGTTCTCTCGCGGTTCCCCCGAAGGAACCCGAGGTCCTCCCGAGGTCCTCCCGAAGGAACCCGAGGTCCTCCCGAAGGAACTCGAGGTCCTCCCGAAGGAACCCGAGGTCCTCCCGAGGTCCTCCCGAAGGAACCCGAGGTCCTGCGAGGTCCTCCCGAAAGAACCCGAGGTCTTCCCGAAGGAACCCGAGGTTCTTCCGAGGTCCTCCCTAAGCAACCCGAAGTCCTTCGGGAGGACCTCGGGTTCCTTCGGGATAATTTACCCATAATGCACCGCACAATTACGCCGACGGCGACGGCGACGCCGCTCAAGCCGGAAACGGGCGCCTAAGAGCTGCGTTCTAAAGAAAAAGAACTGGTGAGGTTGCTCAAGCTGCCGACCGATTTAAAGGGTTCAGCCTCATTTATCGATCCATCCATCCATCCAGTGGCGATGTTTGGGGGGAACAAGGCGCGGGCCTTGTCCTCTGGGGGGTATTAGCTGTGCATAGACTACACCCAATCAGTCTCGACCACAATTAAGAATTTGTGAAAGATGATAGAATTACATTGTCACGTGACGCCACGATTTCCCCCTAAATTTAACGAAGAAACGCCACGTGACGTGACGTCACGTGACTTTACAATTTCCTCGCTAAATTTAGTTGGGAAATGTTTTTCCGCTAAATTTTATATTGAAACGATTCGCCTAGTCGTAGTGTCAATCGTGATGTTCCATGGTTCCCCGCTAAATTTGCTGGAAATGTTCCCGACTCAATTTATCGCGCTACGCCATAAACCGTATATGTACGTAGACACACCTAACCCGTTGCAAATGACGGATGGTGCCGTGAATACCGACGTAAATAACATTAGAGAGACGGCAAATACTGCCACGAATAACATTTGTGGGTCCAGCCGGCGCTGACGATATTAGCACAAACGGCCAACATCATCAGCACTTATCTTGCACATCACAGTCTTTTTGGACGAATATTGTTTGAGCATCGGTAGTATAGGGTATAAAAAACAATGAAAGCCGATACAACGGCACGAGGCCGATGTGTTCTGACGGGCTGAGACATGTTGAAATGCCCTTCATTTCTAGTTCGCAGACAACCCACCAGACGGCGTTCGTTACTGGAAAAAGGTTTTAGGGATAGTGAGGGAAAAATAGACACGGGGAAGGTGGAGACAACCAAGAAGATATTATCTGACTGGTGGCATAGGTCGAGGGAAGGGTGACTATTTCCTTATTCTCTTCCGGGCGACATGCAGGGCGCAAAATGTGTGCACCCGGTTCCATAGAGGCGCCTCCGTCGTGCGGATCGTAGCTTTTAAGAATAAATCTCTAGATATATAACTCAACGTTAAATACATGTTAGAGAAAAAAACACTGGTTAGGTGCCGCAAGCCGTTGCTCGATTAAAAGGGTTCAGCCTCATCCATCCATCCACCCATCCATACATCCATGCAGGTCACCGCCACACGAATTGTAACTTTCGGTTGTGGAGAATAGTGGATGAATGCTTGTGGTTAGCGGTGATGTAAGACTCTTAGCCCTTCTCCATTAAATCAAAATTTCATCGGACGTTAGTTAATTATTGGATTTAAAACCTTTGGCTAGGTGGCGCAGGCCGCCGCTCGATTGAGGGGGTTCAGCCGTACTCATCCATCCATTCATCCAGGTCCATTACTGCCGCTGAGCCTATATCTTCAGATAATGTTCGGTTGGTAATTATGTTCCGAGCAAGTCCGACACGAGAGCGCATACCTCTGGGCGGCGCCGCCAGCGTGAGGTCGTGGTCGATGAACTGTCCCCAGGACATCACCAGGATGGAAAGCTGCCGGTTTGGGTGGTCGTAGTCCCGGTGGACGAAGCTGCTGATGCTACGGGCATTGGGAAGTTGCCCGCCGTCCGCCGCTTGTCGAGGACCCTGAATTCCTGCATCGCAAAATAACGCCACTTGGTTTACGCTCTCTTTTTCTTTCACTCTCATGTTGTACTAGGAGCAGGGCGGAGAAGAAATATGAATATAATTTTAATCCTGACTTAAACCAGACCGGTTCGGCTATGATGCCTTAAACATTTTCCGAGGAAAAAGAACTAATACCGAAAATGATTTTTTAACTACCGTTCGTGTATCATAAGTTGCGTTCTGTGTACATTTGTTTTATTTTAAATCGAGCGACCACCAGGCAATAAATATTTATAAGCTGACCTCAAGCTAAAAGTGGGGCTCTTCCGAGCATAACAGGGCGTTCAAGTTTCTGGCTTCCACTCCTTCTGACAGAACGCTGATAAAAACGCAATCCCAATGCGTTTTTCACGAACTAAAAACTAAAGCTGCTCTTGTTCTAGTATGGCAGGTTTTACACCAAGAAAAGGTTGTTAATTAAACGTTTATAAATACAGTAACTTTTTTCTTCCACGTTGTTTTCAGCGATCAGGCAGATTGATCAATCAATCTGTCATGTTTAAAATACATCTACTGATTGAGACTCACAATTTTCAAGCTACGGTGATTTAATACGAATTAATCTAATTTAAATCAAACAAATATGGTTTAAATTAAATAAACCCGACTGATTTAATTAAAAAATATATCACGTTTTTTTTGTTTTTTTTAACCCTAGCGAGGACCGCGTTTTAACGAAAGTCATGTACCACAAGATCTAGGGTGTCGGTAGACCGTTTTCGGCATTGCTATAGCTTTCGAAATATGGTTCGCTTATCCACCTACCGAGCTGCAGCGGTGCATTCTTGCTAAAAGTACGTGAACTACCAGTAAGCATAACTACGTGAACTACCGGTAACATAACTAGCATAACAGCAAGCATAACGATTTGGTTTAGCTTTCATGACCAGCGCAGCACTTCGCGACTCCAGCCCGCCGATCGCCCTCTCGTGGGCGAACGAAGAACCAGAGGAGCGGGGACGGCGGCGGAAACGGTGGCGGTGACTACCGGCCTTGGTGCTGCTGTCGCCGCATGTTTCTGTCCGGCGTTTTTATGCATCATGCAGATTTAACGAAAAAAGCGATTGTGTTCAAATAGGAATTGTTGTTATCCACATCGCAACTTTTATAAACCAACTGCTAATTTTTTTTAACTCACGTCAACATCTCCGTCACCTGTGATATTGTCACGTATGACAATTTATGAGACGACGAATGATTGAAGGGAGCTATACGTTTAGTGGGGCGAACGCGTGCCCAAAACAGAATAGAGGAAGGCTAGCCTCGCAGGCATCGATGATCGGCATAACAGCAGGATCGCGCGCTGGGCCGAGACTAACTTGTACGGCGCAGTGCAATTTTTTTTTTTTTTTTTAATGTCCTAAGGATGTTTTTGAGATCGTCTAAACATGGCGATAACTCACTCTTGCGGGCTCTAAGCATCCTAAGAATCCAAAGATGATAACGATTCATTGCGCATTTTTTTATTGAAAAAGCAGTCAAAGATTGAACGCACCGAGATGCTCTCCGGCGATAGGAGGGTCATTGTTCCGGCAGCCAGGACACGTGACCGATGAAAACGCGACATCTCGTTGAGATTGCAAAGGCTGCTTTCACAAAATGCGTATGTTTTTGTAGATGATAAAAGCAAATAAGAGTAGTCGAAAGATGTTAATTTTTTGCGGAGGGAACATAATACCGTAATTATACTCTCAAAAATAACGCACTGTGTCCGTTTTTTTTATGTTTGTCGTTTGCGGGAGTTATGCATCCGGAAGTCAGTTCTCGAGCGCGCGCTCGCTGGGTCGAGTTGTAGTCCGGGCTGCATGAGCAACGAGGCGCGCCCATTCGAGATATCACTCCGCGGTTCCACCGGTCGGAGGCGCGAAGATCCTTCGCTTGCTATTGGCTGACAGTGGTCCTGGTTTCGGAATATGCTCCTCCTATCGCTGGAGATTACCTGGGCGTGTTGCCATCTTTGATTGTGTGTGTGTGTGTGTGTGTGTGTTTTTTTTCTTTTTTTAAGTAGAGAAATTGGCCGCGTATTGTCATGATTTATGGATTTCTAGAATGCTTAGAGTCAGCAGGGTAAGTTATCGCCATATTCATGCAATCTGTAAAACCTCCTCCGGGCACCTTTACGTCTTCCATGGGCTAAGAATATTCTTCCTTGATCGTTCTCGAACTATGCATTCTAAACATGAACAAACTATAAGAGGCTCTTCAACCGACTCGTATCTTCTACTTACATCAAGAAAGATAAAAACAACCCGCAGTTCAGCCAAGCGCGCTGCCGACTTGGCTACGTAAGCGCGCGGCAATATGCTCCTGCCCTTACCGCTTCGTATTCATAGCCAAATCAATTAATTTTATTGCCCTGACCAGCGTCGGCGAGCAGGCGCACGGGGAATCCCTGGAGGATATATTCCCGTCTCTTCCAACATCTTGTCACTACTGCCACGCCATCTATAGGGCGTTGGAGCTGCGAATATGGTACAAACATGATAAAGAAGGACCTGGTTGGGACAGAAGGAAAGTTGCTCATTTCCGTTCGGAAATATAGGAACCTTCGAGCCATGGGTCGTTTTCTGTGTGTGGCGTATTAGGAAATTTTGTTTCAGGAGGATATTTGGTCGTCCTATTCTGCTTGATACCTGATGATAATAATGATAGATGCTACTCTGGCTGATAACGAAGTAACTAAAGATGCCGTAACGTCTTTCTTGTTTCAATACGGAGTTTTAACAGTTTTAACTAGTTTAAAAAGCAGTTCAAGTGACGCTCCTTGCCGTCACCTGGCGTCTAGCTAAACGTTCACCCTCCTTGATTCGAATCGGGGTTCCTCGCATCGCGAAGCAGGTATGATAACCACTGCACTATGGGTCGCTCATAATATTTTCAACAAGTATTTTGAACACATGAAGAAAGAATGATGCGTGCAAAAATTAGGAAATGACATGAATTGGAAGTGTTCCAGGTATACTTCGAAGGTGACGCTATCGTGGTCCCTTGTCGGGTCACAAAAAGTCACAACGAACTCTGTCACAGTCAAGCGCAAATGTCTGAACTAGTCTTTAGTCTGCAAATGAGATTCACGAAGCACTAACCGCCCGTCTCAACAGATGGCGCGGCAGAGGTAGCGTCGCTTTGTAAGTACTTGCGCGTCTGGAAGCAAAAGGTCGGTCTTGTGGCGTGTTTCAGGACGACACTCACAGTGTTGGAGAAGACTCGCATGGGATAGTGACTCGTCAACTTTGGACCTTGGTTGTTGTTCGGAGACACCCGCGGTGGTGATGCGGTCTACGTTTTGTATTACACTCCCTTTAAGTAAGTAAAACGAGCCCAAAAGCTGCAAGATTTGTTTTTTTTCTTGTTTATACTACATTTTATTGTATACTTCTTTTGGTTGAACTTCTCGCCATGTAGCCGAGCTGTCCTCAATTTCCGCCCCGAATGATGTCACATTTACCGCGGCCGTAACTTGCGCGCTTAGGTTCGTTCATCAGCCGCGTTATAGCGCCTCGTGTTTCTGTGTCTTTTGCTGCGTTGCTGCACGCTCCCACTCGCTGAAGTTAGACGTGTAAATTAAAACCGAGGTCACTTCATTGTCTTTCTTTTCTGAAGTGAACAGCGTACACTTTGCGCGTTAACTGCTACATCCACGCCCCCACCACCGTGAAAGTTACGAGTAAGTCTAGACGAGATGCTTGCCGTTCGCAAAACCCTCGTTCACAAACTAGCGCACCTTTGGGGAAGATACGTATGAATGTAGAATATTCGTCAAAATTAAGGGCGAAGCGCGAACGTGGGGTCGCACATTTCTGCGAATCCTCACCACGCGCGAATGAACCTAACTAGACGCAGGTGTCCCTGGGCCTGCCCATCTACCTCATCTGCCGTGACGCAGTGGGCTGCAGAGGCGTCGGAACTATTCAGGAGATAGTGGAGGGGAGGGGGGGGGGGGGGGGAGGGGTGATGCCGGTTTTGCGCCCCCTCCCCCTTATTGTTTCCATTAAACTTCTAAACTGCCTGAAGGGGGGGCGGTCGCCCCCCCCCCCCCCCCCCCACTCCCCCTGCTCCCCCTGTTCCGACGCCACCGGTGGACTACCAACGTTTTCCGATACAGTAGTTGAAGAAGTTTAAACACTATTAAATGTGGAGAGCGATATATAGGCTGAAATACTGGTGGACGCGCACCGAGAGGCAGTTGCAGAGATGGACGCGAAGGAGACAGTTGCAGAGATGGACGCGAAGACACAGACAAGAGGCAGCTGCAGAGAGACACGGGCAAAACGATAGACATAGACAGAAATATAGAAAGAGGGGGGAAACGGAGAAGGAGATGGAGATAAAGAGCTTTAGCATATCATAGAAGGGCTTGAATCTGGGCTAGTTGGGTGAACATATTAAAGGGCCACTCCGGCCAAAACTCAAAATGAATTAAATTACTGGTATCGCTTTAGTGACACAAAATACGACCCCAGCCAAAATATTACGCCCGTGGGACGCCGCATTCTCAACTAATGCCGATAATAAAAATGCGACCCGCCGCGAGCCGCTGCTCCTTAGCGGGCGGGCAGCGGGTTGCCGATCGCTCAAGCAACATTGGACCGTAACGTCATAGTCGTACTCTTTTTTTTTTTCTTTTTTTTCTCCGTTCCGGACGGGCGCACGGCGCAACCGTTGTGCGCGCTTCTTTGTGCCGCTACCACCGCTACTTCGGCTTGTGATGACGTTGCTTTTATCTGTAGCCCGTGTAGCTTCGGTATAGCCTTTTGTTTATTTGCTTGTGAGGACTCCAAGACTCGTTTTAGCGAGCAACTCGGTGCGCCCAAGACTGCCCGGCTGTTCCTCGAAATATGCCGAGTACAACTTGTAGCGCTGTGGGCTGCTCAAACAACCCGCTGCGCAACCCGGAGGTGCTTTTTCACAAGTTTCCAACGGATCGGAAATTGGAGAAGCTGTGGGTGAACGCCGTTCGACGAGTGGACTTTGGAAAGCCTTGGATACCGACCCCCAGAGCTCTGCTCCGATCATTTTTCGCCGGAGAGTTACGAACGAAACCTACGGGTGTTGGTTGCTGGTGGCTTATCATGAAAAGGAAAAGAAAATGTTCTGCTTTGTGCCAGTGCTTGTTTACTACGCTATAGCGTGAGTAATACAAAGGTCCGTAACGACTACGAGCGAACAGTCGGCGCGTGAAGCTTATGCGGTATAAACATTCGCCTCCCAATCGTTTGAACCCGTTACGCAGCAGTATTATTTAACACTGGGCTTGTGGATACCACAAAGGACTTTTAAAAAATCGCGAAAGTTCGGATTTGTAAGTTACAACTCTAATTTACCCGAGTTCGGCTGGAGGTAGATATAATATTTAAAAATGCAAAAAAAAAAAAAAAAGAACTTGCCTTAGTCAAAAAGTTACGAAGGAAATCTTTTAAGATCCTACGTATTCCAATAAAAAAAAAATGGGAGTGTCTACATCCACGCGCGGGGATGTAGCCACGCCGGGAGGAGATAAGGCTCCATCCACGCAATACGTCACTTCCGGCGCACTATGATCAACTTCCGGTCTAGCCTCCCATTGTTTTGCCATTTGCTTGGCGGCCATTGCACCTTGCGTTCCTGCCGTGCGCGGACTGCTGTCTACTGTGCCTGCCTGGTCTTCCTCAAGCGGTTTTGACTTTCTCTGAAGCGTTTTTATTTTCTTTCTGTTTTCTCGGACAAGGAGTTTGGCCGTTTGAGTATTAGCACGGTCGCGCTTCTGATCTGCCTCAAGTTTTGGTTGCCGGGGGTTCAACGGTGAAATACTTGTCCTAGTATTTCCCATCGAATACTCGGGAGGCTGTCGAAGTGCGGGTGTTTAGTGGCATTAGGATGAAGGCTTTGGCTGTGTTCCAAATCTTACCCAAATAAATCCGAGTTACCCCGCCGGGTCGTGTCACGTGACAACACAGATTGAAAAACGCTGGACGCGGGTAGGTTTTTAGAACGCCAAGGTACGAAACCCTTACCCTGGGGTAGGATCGATTAAATTTTGGAACACGCCCTCTGTTTTCCAAGGTGTCTGACGCCCTGCTCGATTTGGGCACAAACAACACCAGCGTTTGTGCCAGCGCGTACGTTGACAAGTATCGTCGGTTGGCCGCTCAGATCTTGGAACGCAATCGACGATGCAGATCGCCTTTTCTTCCGTCCTTCCTAGGCGGGGGGAACAGCTTCTCTTTGATGGAGTGTCAGCGTAGTCAGAGTGCCGAGATCCAGGCGTTGAATGATCGGCACAGAGACGTGGACTGGCTCCTGCAGGAGTTCTGCCGCAAGCAGGGCATCGTGTTCATCGGTGATCTCGTGGACAAGTGGCATCTGCGCATCGGCTACTGTCTTATTTTTCATGGAATAAACTGTTTCTGGAATCTTTTACCCAGTTTTCTCGATTGAATGCTCTCAGTATGTTTGTTATTAATGGGACTAGTGCATGTTCTCCATTTTCTCACAATCTTTGTGTGATTGCAAGCGTGCGCGCAAGTCAAGAACGTACGAAGCGGTGGGCACGTACTTGTCCCTTCGGTACACATAAGCTCACATTAAAAGGCTTCGAACCAAGCCAACCACACACACGACGAAGCCTCTCCGCCTCGCCTCAGCAGCGATGCGCACATGGGCGAAGGTCCCGGAGGCCGCACCGCCCGCACGCACGGATGGCACGCACGCCGCCCACACGTGTGTGTGACTCCTCGACAACATAAATATAAAGATATATATTGAACATGATTGTAAACCTGAGACTGGGGCAGAAAAGAGGACACACCAGAAGGTAGAAAAAGACGAGGCAACGTCCTAATTGGTACTATTTTTTTCATGATGCATTATATTTGCTATTAGTCTTAGAAAACAGTAAACGATTGATGAATTGTCTAAAAATTTGTAAGGTCACGTGACATATTAACCTTAAAACAACAATGAAATATAACCTCTTTATTTTTATATCCTATATTTACACATAAGAAAGCATAATATGTAAATAAAAACAGTGTCCTTATAATATTAGTCACGTGACTTTTTGCGTGGATGTAGCCTCGGCCAAAAAAAATTGTTATTGTGGGGGGGGGGGGGGGGGGGGGGGATGTGGAAGGGAAAGAAAGTGTTCTCACCTTGCTAACGTTCTCTGTTTTCCTCTATCAGCCACAAAAACTTTCGCTAGCTTTGAGAAGAAAATGACTGCTCAAAGAACTTCCTTTTATTTCTTTTATTTTTTTAGTGCGGCAAGTTATTTTATTTTTACGTATTAGATTCACTATCTAGCAGTGGCGTCACGAGGGTCAGCGGCACCCTGGGCGGTAGCCCGCCGCGACCCCCCCCCCCCCCCCCCCCCCCCCCCCCCCCCCCTTGTGACGCCACTGCTACCTAGACGAACTCACGTGGTGAATTAGTGCCATAGCTTAAAAATTCGGCTTTTACGCGCCTGAGGAAAGAAGAACGAAAAAACACGTCTACAGCTTAGCACACGTCTGTTCAAGTGTCGCGGCCCGCGCCGGAGAGCGTCAAAGCTTTGTGTCTGGGACTGACCCGCAGCGCGAAAGCAAGAGGGCCCCCAGTACTGTACGTCACTGGCAGCGCGGCGTAGATCAACGCCGCTCCTTCCACGGACTCCCGATGACAATTTAGGCCTAGCGACGATTACGTGAAACCGCACGCACGCCGACAGCTGCCGAACGAGTTCACTCGTTTTCCAGTCGCTAGCTTTTGGGTATACAAGCGACGAGTACGGCACGGCATAGCGCACGCACGGCGGCAGCCGCCGAGCACCGCACCGAACGAGTTGACGGGTGTTCCAGTCGCTAGCTTTTGGGTATACTCACTAACTCTTGCTACATGTGCTGGATAACTACCACGTATGCAGAATTAAAACAAAATCAGCTTACCTTCTATTTTTAGACGGCTAGCGCAACAGAGGTAGCCGTAGGTGCCGCTCGGCCTGCGTGCTCGTTGAACGAGAACGACCATGACGTCACGTCCACATAGCGGCTGATTTCCAATGTTGCCGGAACCTCAAGCGGCTAGTTTCGGTTTTGTCGGCCGCGCCCAAAACACAACTTTGAGACGTCGATATCTTTAAAACTGCGCACAATAACGAGAAAAAATTACACCTTTCAATTCAGGGACGCTGACTGCACTAAAAACAATCATAATCCCAAAATCGAAAGTATGGACCGGAGTTGCCCTTTAAGGGGTTAAAAGCGCTATAAAAAATGACGGACGAGCATATCATTCAGCTAACTCCGATAACAATGTTCGATACTCCTCCCACGCCTTTCCACATCGATCTCATCGGTATCGGAGTTAGCGGATGATGTACTGAAATATCCTGGAAAAAAATAAACCGAAAAAGTGCGAGAAAGTGAGCAACAGAGAGGATATAAGTAGGGGTGAAGGGCATGAAATATACTAGAGTTTTCGTATTGCGTATGAAAGCATAACGCAAGCGTTGTGTGTTTGCGCTGCGTGCTCGACGCTGCGCAAGCGCGTCGTCGCCAATCTAAGATCGCAGTTTGGGCTCCGCGCACACGCAGTGTGGACCATTCAACATTAACGCAAACGCTTAGTGCTTTCGTTCGCTCGTATACACACAATACTGAAACTCATTGATAGGGTTCCAGACGCCCATTGGGACTGAGTAACCTCCGGCTGTATAAGCATACAAACAACACAGTTACTAGTAGGGGATATTCACTGGATGCCATATTTGAGTGCGCCGTTCAGAGCGCATGCTCATTACGAGTTTACATTAATAAGCTTCTAAGGTCGTTAATTTTGATGGTGTGGAATGCACGTTGCAAAATAACTGTAAGCTCGCCTTCAAGCACGCGCTCAGCAGCCGTGCACACAGCTGTATGGCCGGCAGTGATGAGTATCGTACGCAAAGAATTAGCGCCTCCGTAACCGCGGTAATCCAAAACGCGACTTAGGCTCAGTGCATGCGCAATGGCGTAGACGTTATTTGTTTGCCTAGACAAAGCTTTTCCGTACGCTATTCTAAAAAAACTCGCTATTGTGTGCATGAAATTGCATCGCAGTGGCCCACATCACCCCTATCCTGATTCTGTGGTAAAACCGCTTGCCCACCGGGCCAGTGGGAATAGACCTGTTACTAAATTATGCGAGCATCATAAAGAACGCTGGGTATATGAGTAAACAACCAAATTAAGACGTTGACGAACGCGTGTGCAAATTGCCATTTGTTTTGAAGGTTTACTCTGGAGCAGTTACGGTTGTAGAAGGCAGTACGCGTAGCGCGTGTAATTGTACACTCGCGCACGCTCCTTGAGCTCGGGTACCTTAGCCAAAGGTCCATCAAGGCAGCGCGTCTCACCGTCGCTGTACAGGGCCGGCAGGAAGCGGACGAAAGGCGTGTTGGTGACGCCCCAGGACGAGTGCTTGACGTTGTTGCAGCGGCCGTCCATGCTCCGGTAGCGCTCCACAGTGCACGGGATGGGCTTCACGTGGGCCGGGCACATGTCCCACATCTCGGTCCGAGAGGTGTCGATGAGCGGCAGGCCGTTCATGATCTCGTCGTGGGTCATCCGGAACCTTCGAGGGAGGTTAGCATTTGCGTTCCCGCTCTCCACCGTGCAAGTACAGAGCGGGCATTCGTACGAAGGGAAAGTTGTCTTCCCCGAAGCGCGCATGACGTGACGAAAACGTCCCTCTTTTTGCAAAACGGCGTTGTGACGTTGTGGCGTTAGTTTGCTTTTGGGAATGTTGTGTCGATAGGGGCCTTAGCTTAAACCGTTAAATATGTCCGCCGTGGTCCTAAAGCCTTCGGACACCCTTGCTTGCGTCCTATAGTGGGTGAGGAGAACTCCCTCCTTATCGTTTAGGTTACAGGCGACGGCGTCCGAGGGTTCGAGGACCACAGCAGGCAAACTTATCGGACTTTAGCAGTGCGAACGCTGGAGAGGAGGCGACCGCCTCTTCTGTGTACGCTCTGCTAGACTCGGAAGAGGTGGGAGGAACTGTCATCGTCTATAATTGGTTCGTCTGGCATTAAAAATTAAAAAGAAAGAAGTGAACCTGGGAAAAACTCGTGGCACTTTCTATCCGACCTTTTCGTTCCGAGAGGAAAGAAGCCGACTAGGCCACTTGCAGCCGGTGAGAAAGTTGAGGCCAAATAACCGGCATTTTACTTGGGGTGTAATCACAGCCTGCGTTTCTTACAATGTCTACCACTAACGTTAAAAAAGTAAGAAAAAAATGGCAGCGACTTTTATTTTGTTTTAATTGCATAATGCATGGAAAGTCGGTATTTAAAGTGCGATCGTTTAAAATTATTTGCTGGTCAAACTTTTATCAAAACTTAGCGGGGAAATTAAATTGATATATACGTCTTGCGGCGTTGGGTCACGTGAGTTAGATTTAGCGGGGAAAGTGAATTTATGTAGAGGTACCATGACGTCAGGTCACGTGAGGTAAATTTGCCCCCAAAATTTCGCGGGAAACTGAATTACTCTGTAGGCCACGTGACGACAGGTCAGGTACACCAATTTCCGCGTGCCGACTTTGGCGGGGAAACTTAATCGGTGCATAGATGGCGGGACTTCGGGTCACGTGCCCCATACACCAATTCAGTTTCCCCGCTAGATTTAGCGGGAAATTCATGGACGGATAAAATTTTGGGTTTGGGTGTTCCGGTTAAATGGCATTTTATGCTTTAAAAACAAGAATACGTACTGTGTTGCCAGGATCTTGGTGACAAGGAGCGAGAGTTCAGCCGTGGTCGCAATATCCCTCGGCTCTGGCAGAACATCATTGGCACGGTACGGGTGAATGTAGTCTGGTCAAGGGCGATAGGAGAGAGAAATGAGAAATGCAGGAAACGTACACTGACCAAGGCAGACTTAAGGCCTGTTCACAGTTGCAGCGGAGCGCTACAAGCATAGCGCTGACTTCGCGCTAAGCTTCGTGCTGACGGGACCGTTCACCAGCTTTGTATCGCACCGTTAAACCTGTTGCTTATGGCAGATGGTAAGTAGCTGACGACACGTGAGCAGCGCTACATCAGCGCTTCACTGTATGTGACAACCGGCCTTTGTGTGCTTGGCTCGCTTTTTCAGCAAGCCCTGATTAGCGGCTTTGCCACTTCATAGTAAGAAACACCGCTGCGTCATAGATCGGCAATTAGTCGACCAATTCGTTATTTTCAGAAATCGCCAATTCGGTACGCTTGTGGTAGTGAACCCGTCACGACTGTTTTTGAGTCCGTGGAACGGGAATATCCGTGTGTATACCTAAAATCATTTGAGTCATGGATTTCGATATATTGGTGTATTGCCCGGGCAGCGCAACTGTTCATTTCTCACATTGGTTTAAAACCGGTTGCTCTATTTCAATCTTTGTCTTCCGATTTGTGATCACGCGTACCGGAATGAAGTCGTCGAGTGGCCTTGTTACCAGTCCAAACAGCGTCGTTTACGTGGCTTCGCATTGCGTACACTTTCCAGCGTGCTGCCGTGTCCAGCTTGCTGTCGTGCTGCCGAGTCCACCACGACTCGGCAGCACGTAAAAAGCTGCATTGTAGCAGCGGTGCGGTAGTGGCTTCGCGGCTGTATCTGTGCAGCGATATTGAATGCTAGTATACCCAGAGGATATAATACAGATCAGTGGCTACCGACGGAACCCTTTGCAATCGGCGATCAACATAAAACATCCCTACGAAAAAGTATACCCTGCCCGTAATCGATGGGGTTCGGCAAACTTGACCTGGCTAACCAGACGTTCTCGGTTACGAGACAACGATTTGCGCGATGCTACCGCGTCGCTCGATGGCAATGTCGGAACTAATAAACAATTCGTCTGGAATTGGCAGTTGGGGACACAAAGTGGCATGGGGGACACCGGTTTTGATGGGACATAACCGCTTTGCAGTTATTTATTTTCTGTATAGTAATAGCGAGCCCCCTTTCCCTTTCTTCTTTTTACCGAGAAGCGAGTCTATATTTTTAAGCTAATGACATGCCTTCAGAATACTCTCTCCCTCTCATTCTTTGAACAGACGATGAAAACATTGCCTGGCTTAGACATTCAGAATGCAATCAAAGGGCAATAGCACTAATACTATGGGTGCCTGGAGCGCGTCTTCGACTGATCTGTTGTTTACCGCGTCCAAAGACCTGGTTCCTCGATTTCCGCCTGATGACGGCATAGAATTGCCACGCTGTTGACGGCAGCGATCCTGGCGGCGTTGCAGCAGCGGTGGTGGAGGTAGCAGACGCCTGATCAGCTGTAGGTCGCTCTCCATCTTGACGGTCCACGGAAGGTTCGGCAGCCAGGAGTTGGGACGCCGTAAGGACAGCGACACTGGCGTTCGCACTGTGCGTTTTGCCAGCATTTCTACGACCAACCGCTAGGATCGTGACACTCGACAGCATGACACCCTGGCTTTTGTGACGTCATTTGTTACCACTTCGGGACCAGTTTGGATGCACACCAGTCGAAGACGCGTTCCAGGCATCTATCCTACTCCGCAGTCCGCGTTCCTACGCAGCGGATGGGGGAGAAAGCGAGGTGTTAGCGCCCTCCTCCCCTCCCCCTTCTCTCATTCCGAGCGGTGCAACACACATTGGTCGCGCGCTATGGCGTCAAACCGACAGCTAGCTCTGCGTTCCGTTGTTCTTAATAGAGAGTTTTAGTAAATTGTCCCGATGGCTCCGATAACGATACCCGATACTCGGCCGCCGCCTTTGCACAGATATCATATCGTCATCGGGTGTATCGAAACGAACTACTAAAACTCTATTGTAATGGTCTTGCAACGGTCCACCCCCCCTAGTTAACGAGGCGGTAGTAGAGAAAATTGAACACTACTACCGTGTTATCTGGGAGGCGTTGTGCCAACACCAACTAACACAAGAAGGCACGGTTCGCGAGAGGTTCCGATATAAAGCTATAGGCCTGTACCTCTCGAGTTTTCAGCAGCGTCCCTGGCAAACAACATCGATATTTTTAAATCGCACTACCATTGTACACTAGAAAAAAAAAGGGGGGGGGGGGTGTAGCAGCGGCGCGTTTTCCTCCCCTTTACTGACGTGCCCTCAGGCGGACACGAGAAGAAGGATGTGAACAAGATATTTTTCTCCTTCTCCAGGTAGACGGGAGGAAAGTTCCTCCCTCCCTCCTCGTGTTCTTTCACTTTCGTTGCTCGGGCACGTCGGACACTATTTTATAATAAACGCCACTGAGCTGACTTAATTAAAGCTCACTGAGCGACTGCGGCAACGAAGGCTGCCTGTAATTCAGTGTACCAGTTCAAACACTCAGAACTCATCAATTGCATTCACGCTTTTGCCACTGATTTTGCCAAACGGACAAACGGAGCCGTCAGAAGCAGCGAAGTTTCGGAGCAGTGCTAGCAGTGCTACGTACACTGGGCAGAAATGGCCGTTTCCGCAACTACCGCACTTTTGCGTCCCAGTCGGGCCGGTTTTCCTGCCGGGTGCCTGCGCGTCCTCCGCGCTACGTCAGGGACTGCTTCCTGTTTCCGAGTGACATCAGACGATAAGCCTGGTTTTGTATTTCCGTGAGTCACCTACATCGCCGTGGCAGTGTTGTGAGTTGTGAACGAAGTCTGGAATCGTTGTTCATTTCTTCGTTTGTTTCGTTGACCAATGGTGCGACAGCGAGACGAAATTATGTGTACGGTCGCAGGTTGACATTTTGCTTTACATTAAAGAGTCTAATAAAATTGTTCGAGCGATTATGGTGCAATAGATCGACCGGCGGATAGTCATGTTGGAACGCTGGTCTGAAAAGTAGCTCCTATCGTATAGCGACCAATCGAACTCTCTTCTCCAATTCCCTGTTGTCCCCTCCGCGAGAACGATTGGGCTGCCGGGGGGGAAGAGTTGGGGAATGCTTGAAATGTGACGGAGAGGAAGTATATTTACAGTTTGTAAAATTAGCATGAAAGGAAATCATGCAGAACGACCGATGTGGTGCTAGGTAAATTAGCTTTCTGTTATAGCTGAATAAGTTTTAGCCAAAAGGTAGGCTTGTAGTTAAGCCCAAAAAACCTACCTGACGCCGTTCTAGCTTTCTTTTAAATTTATTTTCGTACTTAACAGATCTCGAATGTACACGTCACTGCTAAATGACATGTGTTACACTACCTCAGGCTGTTAGGTCCCTTTCTTGGAGCGACATAGTTACTTATTTATGCAAGCCATCCCGACCGTTTGCTTGTTTCCGTACGCAGCACGACGTAGCTAACCTTACACAACACTTGTCCCAAATCATGGCTTCGAGTGCATTCATATTGGCGGAGAAGCGATTTTTCTGCCCGTGAAACATCTCTTCCTGCTCCTGCCGAGTGTTATATAGGTTAGTTCACGACGACCACTGCCGCCACACATGAACAGCGCAAAAAACACACAAAAAAAAGAATGTTATGATGAAAAAACTGGCATCCCTCACGCCATTCTGCGACGTGCTTTGCGGGCAAGCGAACACATGGCTTCTAGGAACCGGAGTGGAGCGTCGTGTTTTATTGGCTGTCGCAAATAATTAGAGCGTGAACGTTTACTTTTTACTAAGAGATTCATCTTTTGTGCCGTTTAAAATATCTTTCGAGCAATGACATTACTAAGAAAAAATCGCCATATTGGTAACATTGTTTATTGCTTACATGATCATCGAAAAGATCCGTACCTCCGAAACGACGAGTATAAAAGGCGGAGGCGCAGTGTGATGGGAGTTAGTATCCACTCATGTTGATATTTGTATTTGCTGTGTATGTTCTCGATGTATGTGAACTGTACTGTATCGTGTGTAGTGGCACGCGAAGCGCACGTGTGGATATTTTAAAGATGTCTAAAACCCAATAGTAGGTCAAAAACCTGTTTCGTGGCCGATGAATTGGACTGTACCTAACGCCACTTAGCCTAGCCATTTTCCATTATTCTGCCTGTGCCTGCCAACTGGTGGCTAACGATCTAACCTTCTTTCACACTTCGCAATATTTGTTGGACCGTGCCATGAGCCAAGTGGGCTACTCTGAATGAGCTCTTTCGGGAACGTTTGGTTTTGCGAATGACTTACACCATTCCTCCCTGACTTGAGGTGTTAACGAAGGACTGTGTCGCAGAGAATCGCCAAGGTGAGACGTGACGTGCGCGCAGTGGGCGGGGTTCGGTCGTCTCCGTTTAGCATCGCATGCAGTGTAGAATACAGAAGACTGAGTGACCGCGTTCAAAACGGATTTTCTTACCTGCGGGAAAAACCGGCTTCGGCAATAGATACAGTTCGTGAAAAACCCGTGTTATGTTTTAATTTGATACAGCCCTCGCTCCGAAAGAAGAGACTTTGTTTCGAAGTTTTCGAAGCGGATGACTGCGTTTTCTTACGATAGCTGCTTGGCAGGCCTGAAGGTACCGCCAGTGGTGCAAGGTATTTGCCTGTCCGAAACTTATGCTAGCTCTTTTTGGTTGAATAGCGGCAGCGTTCCGCGTAAATGCTGATGATATTCGTAGCGTCTTAACGTCCTCGTTAAGCCTTACTGAGCCCTATTCATTCGACTCGGAGCCGCCATATTGCTAAGTAGACGTGGGAGGAACTTTGCTCCCCCATTTGCAGGGGCAAACGTTGCTCATTTTCTAAAAGAACGTGGGAACAAGATGGTTCTTCACTTTATAAAGAAATACACATAGAACTTTTTTTTTTACAGTGTACGTTTTGATGCGTACTTTCAAACGCTCTGTTAGAGCCCGTGGACCGACGCTAAGGGACGCTGACCAACGCTAGTTTACGTCCGTGGGTCGTTCATAATAGGGCGTTAGGACGCCGCTCGCTCTAAAAAAAAAAGGTTATCACCTTACACCTTTTTGTCCCATATAATGCACCCCAAAACTCCAGTTCGACGTACAGCGCACTATAGTCGAGCAGAAGGCCCCAAATTTTCTGGGGGACTTGATAACGGTGGCATATAACTTATTAAATAGCTAAAGCACGTATCAAAGACCGCAGTAAGAAAACACTGAGGTTTTGCAGTAGGACCAAGAAAACCACAAATTATTTTCTTTTTGTATTCAGTAACACGTACATTAACTATTTTAATAGGTTGTACCACACGGCTATCAAGCCCCTCGTGAAAGTTAGAACCGTCAGATCGACGTCAGTGCGCTGTACGTCGAACTGAAGATTTGGGGTGTATTATATGGGACATAGGGTGTAAGAATACACCCTTTCTTTAGAGTGCTTCAAGACGGCATTAAAGGGTGCTCAACCAAACATGTTATACTGCTGTTACACGGGCACACTTAACTGCAGTTACGCTAAACCACAATTAGCGCACAATACTTGCCGACAACATTCTGCGGCGATGCAGTCAGAGCTATGGGCGAACGTGCGCTTGAGCATCTTGAGCACCCATCAAAGCAGTGCACGCGCTCTCTTCACTTCTTTTGAAATAGCTGTCCGAGGGTATAGTGCGGCATCTGTGCTGCCACGTAACCGCAGTTAAAGCTGAGTTAACCGCGGTTAAGTGTGCCCGTGTAACAGGGGTATAAGTGTCTCTAATAAGGGGCGCACGATCTTTCCACGGGCCAGCAGCCGCCAGTGTGCGTGAGCACACTCAACGAAATTGACTTCATAGTCCCCCATTCACGCCTAAAGGGGCCATGAAACAAATTTTAGGCTGGGATAAATGATTTTAAATTGGGACTTTACTAATCGCATATCGTTTAGTTGTCCAAAAAGAAAGAGGGTAGAGAGTCAACAGCCGGCTTTTCGGTACGAACATCTGAAAATATAGCGGTCTATTTCGTACCTTCTTTCCCTCGAAAGCTCTCCGCCTTTTCACTATGATAATCCGCGGATCCCAAAGCGCGTCAGCGGTGCCAACCTGACGTCAGCCAAGCCCAGCTCACGCATTGGACAGGAGAACTGCGTCACTCGGACGTATGCGCTCGTCAACAATCAATCTGTCGACGAATATTCGGATTCGCGTTCGTGGCCAATGAGTGCCCTGAAGGAACTTATCGTCACTGGGGAATGACAAGTTCTATGGTGTGCATAAAAAGCACGGTGGAAGCTTGGAAGTCATCGCACCGGTGCCGAAGGATGTCACGACGACGTGATTTCACAATTCGCATTTGAATTGAGGATTAAAGCTATGACAGTAAAATGTGTGGGCTCCAGAAAAAAGGAGAATAAAGACAAGCTTTTCATCCACATTGGGATTTGGTGTAAAAGGGTAAGCGACTAATTGGTCTAACAAGCACGTAGCTTTCACTTGTGCAGATGAAAAGCCGGTCTTTATTCTCCTTTGGCCCGAAGCCCATGCATTTCACTGGTCAACTTAAGCGCGAACGGAGGTTTTTGACGTCATTTTTGTTGCGTGTGCTCGCGCACACCGGCGGCTGCTGGCTGGTGGAAAGAACGTGCGCCACTTATTTTGGACGCTAAATTGTTTGGTTCGGTATCCCTCGAAAGGGTCACGTCTCGCGGACGTTAGCGAAGGTGCCTTTTTTTGTGGCCGCGTCTCGTGTAAAGCCCCTTCATGTTTTAAAAGCAGCGCAAGGTGCGTTGATGCACGAGGCACGTGCACCGTGCAGCCTTTGGGAAGATCATGGCGGCACAGCGCAGCACTGGGCTAGATTTCAGACGCCATGAATTTCCCAGAAGTGGCGGCCGGGCGACACGTGCCTCGAGCATTTCTACAACAATGAATGGCGCCACTTTTCCCAGGATAGAGGGGCTTTGGTCTCGTGGACGCTACAGCGCCCCCTGACCAAGAGAAACAGGCTTATCGCTTTAAAAAACTTGTTTCTTCGCAAACCCCGTGTCTCTCTTTTTATTTTTTATTTTTATGTGTACGTGGAAACCGCTGCTCGGAACACAGGGAAACGTACTCAGCCTTGACTTGGCCTCTCGCACAGCGTTGTTGACGTCCGAGTACTTGATGCAGACTTGCTCGTGTGGACCCGCACTCACGAACGACCTGCGAACGGAATGCCACTTGACGGAAGCAAGCACGATGCCTGCGAAAAAAAAAGGCGGCCACTTTTTATTGCGCGCGCACAGGCGGGAGGGTTCCCAACCTGCCCACCGTGGCTCGGAGTAAATTGCTGCTGCTGCCGGCGGTGGTACAGGACCTGCTGATTTCCCCTCCTTGACGAGAAACGGCCCGCAGCTCTCGCGCTCGTGTATACGGGTGTCGTACATACGCCCGTCTTGCGCAACCTTCGAGGCGGAGCCTACGATCTCCAGCACCTTGAAGGTTCCAGACCGCGGTCTCGGATTGTAAAGATGCCGAACGTTTCGCAAGGGGCTTTATAGACTCGTCGAACACTAATGGTACGTTTACACTTGCGAATACGCGAGCGAATCCGTGCCGGCGGTAAGCGGATTTTGGAGCCGGGTGGCTCCAAAATCTGGGTACGGCTTCCGAACCGATACAAATTTTCCGTCGGGAACGAGCGAATTTTGTCATCCGGCTCTGAAATCCGCTGTATGATGCCTCGAGATCTTAGAAGGTTTTCATTTACGAAGGGCTGGAAAGTCCAGCCTTTTGGGAGTCAGGTGTTCATTGCTGGTAAGTCTGAATCCACTTGGAAGAGGTGGAACAACCATGTCGAAGATTTAACATAGACGGTGCATGTCAATAGCTGTTCAGAATATAATTTGTTTCATCGAGCGTTAGGCAATGGAAGGTTAAAACCAGCCTTACAGTGGCGTCTGCTGCCTTAATTGTAGAAGGGACAGTTGGAGTGAGTGGCCTGCTCACCGAGGGTCTCAAACGTCGCTATGATTGCGGGACCGCACGCCGGTGAGATGATTATCCACATTCAAGCGGACGATACAGTTATCATAATTTAGGTAGAAAACAAGGATCTGAATCGTATAATTAAACCGCTTATCCTGACCTTTATAGAGTTGTATTTTGTAGTATCGTATACTGCCCCAACTTCTACGTTGCTTTTTCTCTGCTCTCCAGGATTTCGATTTTCTTTTGTGTTTCTTGATGACGTATTTCTGGAAGGGGATTTATATTGCCGTGCTACACATGCAAGGTGATTCCTGCACCTTGGCATTTTACCAATATTTGTGGCAGGAAACAACTCACGTCTTGAAGGCCTCGAAGAAGTCCTTGAAGCGTGGGGCCGGCGACCTTCCCATCCCGTGCACGTAGTGCCTGTGCAGCAGTAGCGCGCAGTCGGACGTGGCTATCGTGTGGTGGCCGCCGCCGCTGATGAAGTTTCCCTCGCTGCCAAAGGACTCCATCGCCACTGCTACAAGACACTGCCGTTGTACAAGCGCCCTGCGTTCATAAACGCCATTTCGTTACTTCATTACCGAATCGCCTACACTCTTCTGTCCTCTTTAGATGTGCGCCAACCTCTCGGTAAAGTGCGGTTCTTCGTCACTCAAAAAAGAAGCCATGAGGTGAACGTAACAACAGATGAACGCTACTTCAGAAATGCGACTGATGTTTTGTCACTACGTGAGATTATACTTCAGTTGCGTATCAACATAAGGTTTCTCAAGGATGTACCTGCAGCTTTTGGGAAGTGCAGCGATTTTACTTTTTAATTCCCTTCAGAATTTGTCGCAAAACCCTTTGGAAACGATATTGACACAATGGCAGTAATTCTTTTTTCACCTAGGATCACTGGGAATTTATATATTTTTCAGTGATTTAACATAATAGTGGGATCACTATTATGTTAAAACCAGGGTGTCGAACCTGAACCGAACCGAACCGAAAACCGGAACCGAACCGGTATTTTTTCCGGAACTGAACCCGAACCCCAACCGTTGTATTGTTATCGCGATGAACCCGAACCGGAACTGAACCGGAAAAAAAAATAACGGTTACCGGCTCATGTCAAAACGGTTCGGCCACGCGCTGTTGACAATGAATGTGCTATCAATGCCATTTGTTTTTTAAGTGTCGTCAACAGACACACACCTCGCTTACATATTTTTCTTCTACACTCAGTCTTAGGAATATAAACGCTGCATCCATGAATCTTGACAAACGCTGCATCTATGAATCTTGACATAGGAACCAGTATTGCGCTGGTCGCGGCTTGCACGGAAAAACAAAAATTAAAAGGCTGTGCAAAAAAACAAAACAAATCGCGTTACGGGATTTCAATTTCCTACAATCTCGTAAATCCTAAATGCTGCTGTGTGCTCATTTCGTAACACGTTTCTAGAACGTGACGTTGCAATTTTTTTATTTTTTTTTATTTTGCTGTTATTTTGATGTTATTTTGATTTTGTTATTTTGATGTTGCAATTTGTCATTTATAATTTCCGAACCGGTTCGCGGATCGAATTAATCGAACCGGAACTGAACCGGAACAAAATAAATTTACCTGAACCTGAGCCGTAACCGAACCCCTATTTTTTTCGGTTCGACACACTGGTTAAAACGGGAAATTATATAAAGAAAGGGAAAGGGTTGTTCTGAAACGAAAAGTAATCGATCGTGAGTTGTTCATTTTCCTTTTTACTCCGATTGCATATAACATTTTGGTTGCTCAGATCCAATTATTTACGTGCATATCTCATCTGACAAGAACAGCCCTTTTATTTTCAAAAGCAACCAAGAGTGATGCTCCTGCTCAAATTTTCCAAAACGAAGGTCGAACATTTTTTGCGCGAAATTGCAAAGTTCACGCTCAAGACATGACTGACGACGCGTAATCAAAGAAACGCACATTAAAAATCCCGGTCGGTGTTCGCGAACATTCCTCTAGCGAAGATAAAACAACGCACTTTCAGTCGTCCTCGGGGTGGAGAATTCGCAAAGTCTGAGAACCATCCGCCTTCCTAAATATGTATATTTCGCAACGGGAAAGAATGGAGACCCGTATGTTTTCGTGCGCGCGAGCTTTAAGGAAACACCCTACTCTTCGAAAGCGGCGTTGCTCGAATTTTTGCTGATTGCACGTGACAGCTTGACACCGCGTCGGATGCAAAGGAGGAGTCTTGTGTTCGGGCCGCAACGAGGGAACCTGCTACGTCGTAGCTTCCGTCGGCGTCCTCGTTTGGGTAATCGCTGCTGCGTTCGCTGTCTCTCGTCTTGCTGGTCTCTGTGGTCCCTGACGTCATAACAAACGGATAGTGCGGCGAGTGTCGATGACCTGACCATCGCTCCAGAGCCTATGCGATTGCGATTGCGGTCTTATCCGATAAGACCGGCGAAGAACGAATCGTTCACCAAGAAGCATAAACCCGAGAAACCCTGCGCTTCGTTTTAATTGGGCTTTCGGTGACGATATGATGCTCGAGGTTGTGAGCAGGCATCTTCGTTTATCTCACTGCTGCGTTTACCGCGTGCTCAGACGTGGGCCCTCGACTTCCGCCTGATGACGTCATAGACGTGCCATGCTGCTGCTTGTCGCGATCCTGGCGGTGTCACGCAGCAGCGGTGGTAAGTGTGTCAGACGCATGTTTTGCTGCAGTTCGCTTTCCCAGATTGACAGTTCGCAGACGCTTCGGGCAAGTCGGCTGTTGGGACGCGCCGACGGCAGCGCACTCCCGTTCGCTCATGCTTTTTCTGCTGGAACTTCAACATAATCAGACCTTGTCTAGAATATGCTTCATGTTTATGGGACTCTCCTTACTACAAAAAAAAAAAACAAAAAAAAAATCTAAACTTGAAAGGGTACGGAGGACTACAACTCGATTTATTTGCAACCGGTATGAAAGAAGGGACGGCGTGAATGAAATTATCATTTTTCTTGCTTGAAACGGTTCAAATGCGGCACTTTGAAAAGAGGTTACAACTTTTGTACTTGATATATAATGGTTTAAATCACCTAAAACAGTATCCTTACGTAACCCGAGTGTCGGGCTAAAATACTCGTTTTAAAAACGGAAAAATGATTCGAGAGTCTCGTACACACAATGATACATTTCAGTTTTCGTTCTTTCCTACGACAATAACCGCGTAAAACCAGCTACCAAAAAACATAGTAGAAAGTGCCGATGTCGAAGAACTTATTTTAAAGTTGCCCTCACCTGATTGTTTTCGAATATATTTGTTGTTGATTTTTTTTTTTTTTTAGTTTACTTTGCTGTTATGTCTTGCACTTAATACTGATGCCTTCTCTGTGTTATATATTATGTTTATATTTGTGACTCTCATTCCTGCTTGGACACTAACATGAGCCTGCACTATATATAAATAAAATAATAATAATAAACAAAAAAAATAAAAACCAACCGTCAGGATAGCGACATCCGACAAAATAACACCCCAGCTCCTGTGACGCCATTATTATACATTTCTTTTTTACATGGGAACCATTTCTGACGTACGGGTGGTATAAGATGCCAAACCCACCATTCGGAGACGCGTTTCACCCACCATGGTTTCTGTGCACCATGTGGCGGTTTGGATCGTGTGCACGAAACGAGCGAAGCCGCTACTGCAACAGAATACGGGGAAAGCTAAAAGCGCCACCTCTTACACCCGGTGGCTGTTTTCACCGCAGGTGTTCGGATGGAGGGGCATCTGCCTCCAAACGTTCCGATTCCGCGCCTGTAATCTCAGCTTGGCCCATGAACCTTATACTTCTCAAAGTCGGACGTCGTCTGTCGGCCAATGTTTAGAGATGACGGGATTGGATCGGCCCTTGTGCCCAACCGCGCCAAAACACACACCCCGCTATATACGCGCTAAAAGGTTTGTTTGGGCTAGTTGTTGCATGAAGCTTTCTGGGTGAAACAGTGGAACGGGACACGGACGAAGTAGAAAGGAGACGGTGCACAGCACTATGGATCAACTCAACTCTGACGTCACACGACTGCGGTGGCGCTGCTGTCGTGTGAAACATTCGCGCAGAAACTTCATCTCGCGCGAATCTGGTTTCTGCGCAGGTTTGTTCGTAAACATCACGTTGGTGTATATCCTTCTGCATTTCGGTACTAAAGCGCGAGGGATTTGCGCCACCATTGCTCCGAACGTTGGTTTAAATTTATCGCTACCGAAACTGAGCCCCTCTCTACACTGCCGGAGTGTTAAAACAAACACGCTTTCAAATTTTTTGTACCTTTCAAATATGGCTTTAAAATATCCTGCCATTTTATTTTATTTTCGTGACAAACATTGATGGTACTCGGAAAGTTGCACAACGCTTATCGTAGTTCGTGGTCTGTTCGGGAGGGATGGGTTAGCTGGCTCCGTTGAGTGCGGTTGTCACCGCGCTATCGCGTTTTGCGGCGAAGCGAACTCCCAAGGGGTGGACGTCAGGGTCTTGCATTCCTCGCTTCGCCGCAGCGCAGCCGCGCGAAGGGAGAAAGCATCCCTCCGGTGTGAAGTTTTGGTTTAGCGAGAGGATTTTAAAATGACTGTGATATGATATTACTGGTCTGCGCTGTAAATTTAATTCTTGAACATGCCACCGGATGAATCTTAATATACGTATTCGCAGTGCAATTATTGATAAGGTTTAAAACATTTGTGTTCTAAAAGTTCATATTGCTGCTCTAAAATGAACCTTTGAGTGATTAAGGACGACTCGGACCAATCATAAAACTGCTCTCGTGTACCGTGGTTCTTGGAAACACTCGAGCTTAGAAAAGGGAGTTGCCTTCAAAACTGCCCAAAAACGACAAATACTTTTATTGTCGGCTTAACGAAAAGTGGCACTTACCCAGGATCAAATCGTCTTAAGGCTTCTTTTGAACATCGATGATTATTTATTTATTTATTTATTTCATAATACTATCAGTCCCCCATCGGGGACTATGATAGGAGTGAGTACAAAAAACAATAGACAATGTAATACACACGCAGAACACAATGACAAAAAATGAAGGACTATGCCAAACCTAATACTCATATCAAAAGCACAAAAGTACGACAAAAATGATAACATGAGGTTTATTGGTTACATGGGAGACACTTTACAAAATCCAAAACCGTTTTGGATTTAACAACGCTTTCAGGAAGTTTATTCCATTCCCTTGTCGTCCGAAGGAAATACGAATTCTTGGAACATTCTTTGTTGAATCTCTACTCTTCGATTGTCCTAGTATGCTTGTTACGGGTGATTCTAGATAGATGGAGTTTGATGAATCTATGTTTATCAATCTGCAATGTGTCATCTAAAATTATGAAAAACATTTTTAAACGCTTATTTTTTCTCCTCTCTTCTAATAAGGAGATACTTGCCTTACAATAGAGCTCTGTTGGTGAATCCAGGCTTCTGTACTTCGAAAAAATGAAACGCAGTACCATTTTTTGAACTTTTTCTAATTTCAATATTTAAACCTTTTGTGTGAGGATCCCAAACTTCACTA